GATACGGACCATTTTTAAAGTCTTTATTGAATTTGTTACAATATTGCTTCTGTTTTATGTTTTGGTTTTTTGGCTGCGAGGCATGTGAGATCTTAGCTCCCCAACCAGGGATTGAACCCACACCCCCTGCATTGGAAGGTGAAGTCTCAACCACTGGACCGCCGGGAAGTCCCTGGTTATCTATTTTAAATATAGCAGTGTGTATATGTCAATCCCAAGCTCCCAGTCTATCCCTCCCCACCACCCTTCCCTCATGGTAACTGTAAGTTTGTTCTCTAAGTCTGCAATGTTCTCTAAGTCTGTGAGTCTGTTTCTATTTTGTAAATAAGTTCATTTGTATCTTTTTTTTTTTAAGATTCCGCATATAAGCCATATCATATATTTGTCTTTCTCTGTCTGACTTACTTCACTTAGTATGATAATCTCCAGGTCCATCCATGTTGCTGCAAATGGCATTATTTCATTCTTTCTTTCTTTATTTTTAAATATTTATTTATTTATTTATTTTGCTGCGCTGGGTCTTAGTTGTAGCACATGGGATCTTCGTTGCAGCATGTGGGATCTTTAGTTGCGGCATGTGGGATCTTTAGCTGTGACATGTGGGCTCTTTTAGTTGCAGCATGTGGGCTCTTAGTTGCAGCATGCAGGATCTAGTTCCCTGACCAGGGATCGAACTCGGGCCCCCTGTGTTAGGAGCACGGAGTCTTAACCACTGGACCACCAGGGGAGTCCCCTACATTATTTCATTCTTTTTAATGGCTGAGTAATATTCCATTATATATGTGTACCACATCTTCTTTATCCATTCATCTGTCGATAGACATTTAAGTTGCTTTCATGTCTTGGCTATTGTAAACAGTGCTGCAGTGAACATTGGGGTGCCTGTATCCTTTCTAACCATGTTTTTCTATGGATATATGCCCAGGAGTGGGATTGTGGGATCATATGGTAGCTCTATTTTTAGTTTTTTAAGGAACCTCCATGCTGTTCTCCATAGTGGCTCTACCAATTTACATTCCCACCAACAGTGTAGGAGGGTTCCCTTTTTAGAATAATTGTTCTAAAACCTAAGTCAGTCGTACCAAGCTTTTGCTTCTGCTTTTGCTTCTGCTTTTGCTTCTGCTTTTGCTTCTGCTCTCAACAACAATCCATGTTGTTGCTAATGGCATTATTTCATTCTTTTTTATGGCTGAGTAATATTCCATTGTGTATATATTACCATATCTTCTTTATCCGATCATCTGTCAGTGGACACTTAGGTTGCTTCTCCAGCTGTACATTGTTACAGTTATTACTTTACCATCTGTAATCATTTTCTTAACCCAGTACAACTATGCTCCCACTGATCTGCTTTGTTCGTTATTGGCAAATATATTACATTTCTGTACATCACAGGTCCAATACTACATTATATACATACTATTTTATACAATTGCTTTTTAACTCGGTTATGTGAAGAAAGGAGAAAAATATACATTTACACTGTTTTGTTGGTTTTGAGGGGAGGGGGTTTCTGTTTTTTGGGGTTTTTTTGTAATTACACAATTGGTGTACATATTGGTGTACGTATTACACAATTGGTGCTCCTTGTTTTTTGTGTGGATTCAAATTATCATCTAGGGTCACTTGCTTTAGCTTGAAGAGCTTCCTTTAGTATATTTTTGTAAATCAGGTCTGCTGTCAACAAATTCTCTGCTTTTATCTGAGAAACTTTTAATTTCACCTTCATTCTTGAAAGATAGCTTTTCTGGATATAGGATTATTGGTTGACAGTTCTTTTCTTTAAGTCCTTTGAATGTATTATGTCACTGCCTTCTGGCCTCCATCATTTCTGCCAGAAAGTCAACTGTTAATCTTACTGGGTTTATATCTGGAAGTGTCAAGTTGTTTTTCTCTAAATGCTTTCAAGATTTCTCCTTGTCTTTAACTTTCAGCATTTTTACATACTGTGTCTGTTTAGGGATCTATGGGTGTATCCTACTTGGACTCCTTAGAGCTTCCTGGCTGTGTAGGTTATTGTCTTTCAATAAATTTGAGAAGTCTTCTGCTGTTATTTCTTTTAATATTTTTTCTGCTCTTTTCTCTCTCTCTCTCCCCACTATCCTTCTGGTGCTCCTATTATGCATAATACTAACTTTGGACTTAGTTTGGGTGTAGTTAGTTTGGCTTAGTTTGGGCTTAGTTTGTTCTTCTTTTTTCTGGTTCCTTGAGGTGTAAATTTAGATTGTTTATTTGATATCTTTTCTTTTTCGTAATGTAGGCATTTATTGCTCTAAACTGTCCTCTTAAAACTCCTTTTGCTGCATCCCATAAGTTTTGGTATGTTGTGTTTCCACTTTCAATTGTTTAAAGATATTTTAAAATTTCCCTCTTGATTTTGTCTTTGACCCATTGGTTGTTCAGGATCATGTTATTTAATGTCCACATATTTATGAGTTTTCCAGTTTTCCTTCTGTTATTGATTTCTAGTTTCATACCATTGTGGTTAGAAAAGATGCTTGATCTGATTTCAGTCTTCTTAAGTTTGTCAAGACTTGTTTTATAGCCTAAGATATGATCTATCCTGGAGAATATTCCATGTGCATTTGAGAAGAAAATGTAGTCTCCTGCTTTGAATGGAATGTTCTGTGTATGTCTGTTAGGTCCATTTGGCTTAAATTATAGTTCAAGTCCAATATTTCTTTACTGATTTTTCTTTCTGGATGATCTGACCATTGTTGAAAGTGTGGTATTAAAGTCCCTTATTATTTTTGTGTCGCTGTCTATTTCTCTCTTCAATTATGTTAATATTTGCTTTATATATTTAGGTGCTCTGATGTTGGGAGCATAAATACTTACAATTGTTAGATTCCCTTGATGAATTGACCCCTTTATCGTTATATGATGATCTTCTTTGTCTCTTGTTACAGTATTTGACTTAAAGGCTATTTTGTCTAAGTATAGCTACCCCTGCTGTCTTTTTTTTTTTTTTTTGCGGTACGCGGGCCTCTCACTGCTGTGGTCCCTCCTGCTGCGGAGCACAGGCTCCGGACGTGCAGGCTCAGTGGCCATGGCTCACGGGCCCAGCTGCTGCATGGCACGTGGGATCCTCCCGGACCAGGGCACGAACCCACGTCCCCTGCATTGGCAGGCAGACTCTCAACCACTGCACCACTAGGGAAGCCCCCCTGCTGTCTTTTGGTTTCCATGTGCATTTACTGTCTTTTACATACCTTCAGTTTCAGTCTATGTGTGTCTTTAAAGCTGAAGTGATTCTGTTGTAGGCAGCATGTAGTTGAGTCTTTTTTAACTTTTTAAAATTTATTTTTATTTATTTATTTTTGGCTGCATTGGGCCTTTGTTGCTGCATGCAGGCTTTCTCAAGTTGCGGTGAGCGGGGTCTACTCTTCATTGTGGTGTGTTGGCTTCTCATAGCAGTGGCTTCTCTTGTCGCGTAGCACAGGCTCTAGACACAAGGGCTTCAGTAGTTGTAGCATATGGGCTCAGTAGTTGTGGCTTGCGGGCTCTAGAGCACAGACTCAGTAGTTGTGGCACATGGGCTTAGTTGTTCCGCGGCACATGGAATCTTCCCAGACCAGGGCTCGAACCTGTGTCCCCTGCATTGGCAGGTGGATTCTTAACCACTGCGCCACCAGGGAAGTCCCGAGTGTTGTTTTTTTATCCATTCGGCTACTCTGTGTATTTTGATAGGAGAATTTAGTCCATTTACATTTGAAGTAATTATTGATAGGTAAGGGCTTACTATTGCCATTTTGATTGTTGTTTCCTGGGTGTTTTATAGATCCTTTGTTTCTTTCTCTCTTGCTATCTTCCTTTGTGATTTGATGATTTTCTGTAGTGGTATGCTTTGATTCCTTCCTCATTATCTTTTATGTATCTACCATAGATTTTTGCTGTGTAATTTGTTTTGTTTTGTTTTGTATTTTTGCTTTTTACCATGAGACTGACATAAAACATCTTTTAGTTGTAACATTCTATTTTAAGCTGATAACATCTTAACTTTGATCGCATACAAAACTCTACAGTTTTACTTCCCCCAGGCAAAGTCTCTGAGCTAGGGCTGTGTTTCTGCAAGTGTATATGTAAATATAAATTTTACTTATCAAATTATGTATTAAATACATGAAAACATCTCTTCCCAACTAGAGTTTTTTAAACCCTATGCAAGACCTAACCAGATCAGAACGTAGCATTGGATGCTACACACCCTATGTATGATTTGAAACTTCTCCATGTGTTTCTGATGCACATCCTGGTTAAGAAATCTGTGTCAGAGACGCTCACTAAATATTAATCCTAAGGGGGATATGCTTGTAAATCTTTTGTGAAGCAGTTTATCCATGCTTGTCCTAAACTGGCCCTTTTAAAGTATGCATTTTCCTTTTTTCCTTTAAAATAGGCTATTTCCATAACTTGACAAAGCATTATTATACTTGTCTGATTTTTATAATGTCTGTATTACTTTTTTCTCTTGCAGGTGAAAATGAGTTCTTCAGTAAGAAGAAAAGGCAAGCCAGGGAAAGGAGGTGGAAAGGGGTCTTCCAGAGGAGGAAGAGGAGGCAGAAGTCATGCTAGTAAATCTCATGGGGGTGGCAGCGGTGGCGGTGGCATTGGTGGCAATAGAAAGGCCTCAAGTAGAATTTGGGATGATGGCGATGACTTTTGTATCTTCACTGAATCAAGGCATTCATCCAGGTCATTATACTCTTTGAATATTCAAATGTGAAAACAGTATCAATTCCTGATCTAACAGATGACTAAGACAAAGGGGGAAAATGTCAAGTAATTCTGGCCAAGTTATCTTCCTCTTGTTTTAAAGCCCCTTCTTTGTAACCTTTTCTAAAGGCATGATGGCAAATAACACCTTTTGTTAGGCCGGGGATGGGGGTGGTGCTTTGAAATCTGAAGTTAACTTTAACTTCCACATGACACTGTGAATTGAGTATAATATTGTTATTGTAATCAGTATTACTAGGAAAGTAAATACTGGAAATTGTGAAGGTGATGACAATTATTTTAAGTATTTCTTAGGCATTGTAGTTTGAAGGTCTCCAAATGAGATCTGGCAATACTCCATCTGTCTAGTTGATGAATTATCTATTTTCCAACCAGATCAACCAAATAGGCAGTTAGATTCAAGAGACTATACTGTATAGGATGTTATAGGCCATTATAAGGATTTTGTTTGTTTTTGTTTTACTTTAAGTTTTAAAAGTCATGTTCATTGAAGTGTAATTTACGTTCAGTAAAACTCAACCTAAAATTTGACAAACGCAACCATCGCCATAAACAGCTCTTCAAAACTCCCACATGCCCTTTGCAACACACTCCTCCCTGATCCTTAGGAATCCATTGATCTGTTTTCTGTCAAAGGGGTCAGATATAAACATTAAAATTATTTATTATAGAAAAAATCATAAGCACATAAAACCAAGTTTTTAAAAGGATACTTTGGAATGTATAATCTTTAGAATAGTTCAAAGAATGGGATTTTAAAATAACCTTTGAAAATTAAAGCACAGTTGAGAAAGGTGTCTTAGGATAGTTGTAGAATAGCTAGTCTAGTTATTGTGTCAAGCTTCAGGCTGGGGCTGGTCAGTAGAAAAACTATTTTAAATAATGGAATTGAATTCTACAGACATTCTCAATGGGGCAGACATACGTTCTTACAGGTATTTGGCACCTCAAAAGTTCACCCCTGCTACCACCAGGAAAGGTCAAGGAAAGCAAAAACATCTGTTCTGTATATATCAGTCATCACATGTTCAAATACACCTTACCTACCTGAAGTGCTTCTTTCAAGCGCCACAATTCTGTCTTTCAAGCACCAGCTGTGAGGTTTGTCAGCATCTTGAACTGGACTGAGCCAAGTCACGTGCCATGGCCAAAAAGGCCATTATACGGACTTTGGCTTTGCTTTGAGTAAAATGGGAAGCCATTGAAGGGTTTGAGGCAAGTGTGTGTGACATCAGTCACTCTAGCCAGAGTTACTGCTATTCAGTATATCCCTTCATGTGAATTAGAAAATGGTGCCCCTTTCTTTGGGCAGTTATAGCTCCAGGATGGATGTCTTGGCAAGCAGAGCATAGACTGGATTTTAGCTTTTGCTGTCCCCTCCTTCCCTACTTTAGGACCCTTTGCATAGTGTATAGTCTGTGCACCCATATTCAGTGGCCCTGCCTCAGTGTGCTCTGTGGAGAATAGACTACAGGGGGACATGGGTTGGAAGCAGGAAGACCAGTTAGAAGGTACACTCCAACTGGCAATTTCATAGGCAATTTAATATATAAGTCTGGAGTTCAAGAATAAGATCTAGGCTAGAGAAGTAAATGTATGAGTCCTCTAGGAGTAAATGTGCTTTAAGGCTGTGGGACTGGATGAGATAGGATATAGAGAAGAGGTCTGAACTTTGAGCCCTGGGGCACTCTAGACTTTAGAACTGAGAGAGATTAGGAAAATGTGACAAAGTAGATTGAGGAGTTGCCAGTGAAGTAGGAGGAAGACTAAGCTTATTTCTGGAAGTCAAGGAATGAAGGTGTTTTCAAGGGAAGTATCCAATCAGATTGGATTGGATACTTAAAGGGAATACGCAAGTTATATAAAAAATGCTTCTAATAGGTCAAGAAAAATGTGTTCCGGGAGTTCCCTGGTGGTCCAGTGGTTAGGACTTTCACTGCTGTGGCCCCAGGTTCAATCCCTGGTCGGGAACTAAGATGCCACAAGCTGCGTGGCACAGCCAATATAAAGAAAAAAGAAAAATGTGTTCTGACAATTGTCCACTGGATTTGGCAATGTGGATAGCATGGGCAACCTTGACGAGAGCTGTTTGGTTTAGTATACTTAGTGTGGAGAAAACCCTATTGGAGTGTGTTTCAGAGAGAAGAGGAAAGAAAGTGGTGACAAAGACAATGATTTAGATAACCCTTTGAGGGAGTTTTTCTCTAAAGGGCAGGGGAGGGAGGAGAGATAGGATAATAGCTTGAGAGGGATATGCAGTCAAAGGGAAGATTTTTTTTTTTAAGATGGTAGATGTTATATAGCATGTCTGTAAGCTGATGGAAATGATCCAAAGGAGAATGAAGAACTGATGATCTGATGATGCAGAGGGAGGGATAAGTGCTGGAATGATTTCCTTGAGGAGGTTAAAGAGATTGTGTATACAGTATACAGAGGGACTGACTTTAGGATCGAGGATGGTTCATCCTTAGGAACTGGAAGGAAGGCAAAGTATAGGGGTTTACAAATAAGAGGTAGATGAGATAGGAGCATATGGAAGTTCTCTCCCTACCCACCCCCCCACCCCCCCTTTTTTTTTTCTAATCATGAGGAAACAATCAGACAAGTCCAAATAGTGAGAATTCTACAAGACAGCTAGCCTAAGTGCTTCAAAAAAGTCACTGCCAGGAAATAGGTGGGGGAACTATTCTAAATTAAAGGAGTTTGAGAAATGGCTAACTAAATGTCATTTTAAAGTAGATACTCATTAAGAAAATCTGTAGAAGACATGATTGAGGCAGTTAGGAACTTTGAATATGGATTATATATTAGATGATATCAATATAAAATATCTTGTGAGTGATAAGAGTACTGTGGTTATATAAAAGTATGTCTCTGTTCTTAGGAAATAACATGCTGAAGTATTTAAGAGTGAATGTGATGCCTGCAACTTACATTCAGATGGTTCAGCAGAGCATGCATGTACATATATGAGGGAGCATATATACATGCATCTGTGTGTGTGGAGAGAGAGAAATAAGAGAAGGGCATAACGTGTGTGTGCATTTAAGTATGGCAATTGTTAACAATTGGTGAATCTTGATAAATGGTGTTAATTTCTGTAGATTAAAAATTTTTTGAAACCAAAAGGGGTAATGATGAATTTGGGCTAACGTTTCTTTTCAGAGGTTGCAACTAAGTGGTTAAAAACCAGTCTATTCTATTTTCTCCTTTGGTACCCAGTTTTGCGAGTGTAAGTGTGTGGTTCTTTTCAAAGTCTCAATAATATGTTGGATTTTCAATGCAGAGAGAGTTTCTGCCATTTCCCTAGATTTGTGAAAATTTATAATGAAACATGCCAAGTGAAAAAAAGAACTTTAGTGAGGAAAGTTAAACTTTAGAGCTGATTATTGTTTTAAATATTAAAAAGTATCCCTAAAAAAAATCTAAATTCCAAAAATGAAAGATTGGTGAAATAAATTCTAGTACCTCTATATGTATGTGTAACCATTTAAAAGTTAAGTTGTAGGAAAATATTTAATTTGGGGGAAATGACAGTTTTATTTTGATAAGGAAATAAAGCAAATTATAAAAGATTATATATGCTGTACAATTTTATAAAAAATGTATGTGAAAAAGAATGATGTGATTTAAGATGACTTCTGTTTTCTTCTTGGTTCTCTACTTTTCTACAGTGAACATGTATTATTATGATTTTTGTAATCAGGAAATAATAATTTAGGTAAATATTTCAAAAATAGGGCTAGGGCTTCCCTGGTGGCACAGTGGTTGAGAGTCCGCCTGCCGATGCAGGGGACATGGGTTCATGCCCCGGTCCGGGAGGATCCCACATGCCACGGAGCAGCTGGGCCCGTGAGCCATGGCCACTGAGCCTGTGCGTCCGGAGCCTGTGCTCCGCAACGGGAGAGGCCACAGCAGTGAGAGGCCCGTGTACCGCAAAAAAAAAAAAATAATAATAATGCCTAATATTCACAAGATAGGACTCTGTTGTTTTCAGATCAAGTACCTCAAATAGAATGAAATATGTACTCTTTGTATGTAGCACATTTCTTTTGAACATCCACTAGTGCAGAAGGAGTCACCATAGCATTACTTTCTCCAGAGGACTCTTGAGCTAGTGAAGCCAGATTTAATGATGAAGCATCGAATCAGGTTTTTCTCCAGCAGTTTCAATATAATGAAATCTGGTAAATACTGTAGAAAATAGAGAATCTCTTCACATTCATTGTCATCTTTTGTAGGGTATTTGACAGTCCAGTCATGTTATATATATTTGGGGACCCTGAGGAGAGTGTAAAAGTTCTGCTCACGGATAAATGTGTAATTTTGTTCTTGTGTCCTTTGCAGACCTAGTAACAGTAGCGTGAGAAAAGGGGATGCACACCCCAAATGGAAGCCTGAAGCCAAAGCACCCCTTCAGACTCTACATATGACTTCTGAGAATCAAGAAAAAGTGAAAGCTCTTCTCCGAGACCTGCAAGAACAAGATGCAGATGCTGGATCTGAGTAAATTATCTTATTTCAGTAAATTACTATATTGAGGAAGATGCATTGGCAGTGCGAGGGTTCTGTGTGTCTTTGGAGTACTGTATCAGTACTGATCCTGTAGTGGCTGTATAACTAGTTGAAAGTGAGCCAAGAGAAATACAAGAATAATTATTCAGCAACAGTTTTAGAGTGAGTTTGTTTTGCAATATCTGTGAGCAATGGTACAGATCGCCTTTTCATCTTTACTTTTTCTAGGACAGTGCTAATATGGATTCAGTAGTTGCTTTATTGATAACCTTTCAAATAAAACCTTGTAGTGAACAAGTAGAAGCATTGTTCTAGGAGCAAATATTGAGTTGATCAGATGAAGTCTTATGATTACACTTCTCATGACCATCTGCCTAAGAGAAAGATTGTTTTAGACTTTTGGCTGTTTTGCTTTGTGATTTCAGTTGGAGAGGTTAATCCTTTCCATTTGCCACAATTAATGAACGGTCAGTCATGAACAGCTTAATTTCCATCCTATCTACAAATTGCATATCTGTCTTAAATTTAGGAAAGGTGGTTATGCAGCAAAGCAAAAAAAAAATAGCGATGGTTTTTATAAATGAGAAGAGAGAGAGGATAGCCAAGGCTTCTGTAGTTAAGAACACAGACTCTGGGTCAGACTACCTTGCTTAAAATCTCTAGTTGCTCTTTACTTTATAACCTTTGGCAGTTACTAATCTTCTCTTAAATTTTAGTTGATCATCTGGAAAAAAAAATAGAGATTCCAATCTGGCTGGGTTATTGGGAAGATTTTCAAAGAGATAGTACATATAAAACATTTAACATAGTACCTGGCAGGTAATAAATTCTGTTACTTGCCGAGATATAAATTAATAGGTCAATAAAAATAAATCAGTGACTGAATAGTGGTCAGGATTCTCTGTCCTTTGGTTCCTTGAATTAAATTCTTAGACTCTTACTAAATTTTTCTTTGAGGTAAGTAGAGTTAATATATGAAAATGTTACTTTTGCCAGAAGAGGTGTTTCTGGGGAGGAAGAAGATGATGAGCCTGATTATGATGATGAGCAGTACTGGTCAGCTGGACGAGAAGCTTCCCTTGTTCCCGACTCAGATCCTTTGGAATGTGCTGGTTCAGGCCTGGTGGAGCCTCATCATCCGGAATTTACAGTCTCAACATTTGCAGTGCAAAAACTTTCCAGGTTTGCTTTCATCATTTATGGGAAAATTGAAGGAAACTGAAAGTGTATTATAAACGCATCTACCACTCCTCGAATACTTTCGTGTTGTGTGCGTTCCAGTGGTACCTGATACGCCCAGTATCCTCTCTTTTAGGATAGGGAGATGAAGGAGGCGTTAGTATTATCAGGTACACTTTTTCAAGACACAAACCCTGCCTATGTATAGTTATGGCTTCCCATATATGTATTTAAATGAATTTCTCTTTTGAGGTTTGATATTACTCAGTCGTTTTTGTCGTGCTTCTCACTTGGCAGGTATGGTTTCAACACCGAGCACTGTCAGGTAGCCCTGAGAATTTGCAATGGAGACATGGGGGCATCACTGGAACATCTGCTCACCCAGTGTTTTTCAGAGACATTTGGAGAGAGGATGAAGGTCTCTGAGGCCGTTGCGCGTATAAGCTTGGATGAGTGTGTGGAGCAGCGACAGGAAGAGGCCTTTGCTCTCAAGTCAATCTGTGGAGAAAAATTTATAGAAAGAATTCAGAACAGAGTCTGGACCATTGGATTAGAACTGGGGTATTTGACGAGTAAATTCTGCAAATCCAAGCAAAAGGAAAGTACCAAAAATATACAGGAGACGTCACTTGAAATCTGTAAATTTTACCTCAAAGGAAGTTGCAAATTTGGATCAAAGTGCAAATTCAAACATGAAGTGTCCCCAAATCAAATTGTTGGAAGAGCAGAAAGAAGTGTAGATGATTCTCATCTAAATGCTGACGAAGATGCATCTTTTTTATACGAACTTGAAATTCGATTTTCTAAAGACCACAAATACCCCTACCAAGCTCCCCTTGTGGCATTTTATTCCACCAATGAGAATCTACCTCTGGCTTGTCGTTTACATATTTCTGAGTTCCTTTATGGCAAGGCCTTGACATTTGCAGAAACTTCAGAACCTGTTGTATATTCTTTGATAACCCTTTTAGAGGAAGAATCAGAAATAACCAAGTTACTAACATATACCCATCACAAGTACAGTGTCCCTCCTGTGAACTTTCTGCCAGTATCCTCTGGGACCAGAATAAATAATCCTGTCTGTCGTAAACCAGTGATTCCAAGTAATTCGTTTCTTTCAAATCAAATTCCAGAAGGTATGTAAGTCATTGATGTGGTGTTGTGGAGGCGGGATTTGGAATGATGGATTACAGCAATCAGAGGCTCTGAGGGCTGGTGTAGGATCTCCCCTGAGCTATGACCTGACTTTACTTGTAAGGCCTAATTCTGTCACTGTGTTCTGGCTCCCTGAATTGAAAGTTTGTAGTGATGTATAAGTTTATTCTAGCAGTCGAGGGCTGGAAGAACCTTAAAGCATCCTTCCAGAAAAGTCTGTTTCGTGTAATCCATTTGGTTTCCTGTGATTACTTCTGTTATTGTATATAGGATTACTTTAAAATGAGTTTTTAGAGATACTTCTCTTTCTATACCACCATCCATCCCCTCCTGCTTTTAGTATGCTAGACCCCCAAAAGTCATTAGGGGATGTCTCTCTTTATGGGTCCCTAAATCCTCAAATAGAGAAATGTTTGTACGAGCCTCTGGCTTCCTCCAGATCCGAGTGTGCCATGCAGAGTCTTACATCACAAGTAACCCCCCTTTCAGAGTTCACCGTAGGATCTCTCTTATTTTTTGCCACCTCTCTTTCAGAGCAGCAAGTTTTATTATTTCCCAGGAGTTCCTAGGTAAATGTCAACAGGTAGAGAACAGTGAAACTGCACCAAGATGCGGATGCCGGACAGCTGGCTAGGTTCCCTCACTGGCCCCTTGACTCGCTCCCAACCTGCCGCGAGTTCTAGCACTCAGATGTATTCCTCAAGAAATGACAAACTGTGTGTCGTGAACTTTTTTTTTAAGATAACAGCTTTATTAAGATATAATTTACACACCATAAAATTTACTCTTTTGAAGTGTACAATTCAGTGGTTTTTAGTATATTAACAGAGTTGTGCAACCATGACCACTGTCTAACTCTGGAACGTTTTCATCACCCCAGAAAGAAACTCTGTACCTGTTAGCAAGTCACTCCTCATTTCTCCCTTCCCCCAACCCCTAACAACCATGAGTCTATATTCTGTCTCTGTGGATTTGCCTATTCTGGACATTTCATGGAGATGGAATCATATAGTAAATATGTGGCTTTTTGTGGTTGGCTTCTTTCACTTAGCATGATATTTTCAAGGTTCATCCATGTTGTAGCATGTATCAGTACTTCATTCCTTTTTATTACTGAATACTATTCCATTATATGGACATACCGCATTTCATTTATTGATTCATCATATGATAGACATTTGGGTTATTTTGTGTCATGGAATTGTAGGTACACTTGCAAATATTTGAAACTTTCAGTTAATTTCTGAATGTACAGAGTCTACTGGATTAACAAGGCAGGGCATGATTTTGTTTTTTGTTTTTTGTTTGTGGTACGCGGGCCTCTCACTGTTGTGGCCTCTTCCGTTGCGGAGCACAGGCTCCGGACGCGCAGGCTCAGCGGCCATGGCTCATGGGCCCAGCAGCTCCGCGGCATGTGGGATCTTCCCAGACCGGGGCACAAACCTGTGTCCCCTGCATCGGCAGGCGGACTCTCAACCACTGTGCCACCAGGGAAGCCCTTTTCTTTGTTTTTAATTTGATTTAACCAGAGCCACTGACACTTGATTAAAGTTTATTTGGAGATGCATTTTAAGTTCTTTAGCAGTAGAAGTAGTAGTGTGGAAATGAATGAACTTGTTTTATTCAAGCTTTAACTTTTTCTCCATTTTATGATTTTGTTGTTGTTGTTACTTTGTTAGATAGTGACTTTTCCCTGCTGAAGAAAGGGCTCCATATCGAAAATGTTTCCTTTTATCCCCTTCAAGTTGAAAAGGAATCAGAGCCTGAGGAGGAGACAGATGAGGATGAAGGTCCTGCACCAGTTATGGTGGAGAATGAAAGCTATGTCAACCTTAAGAAAAAGATTTCCAAAAGATATGACTGGCAGGCAAAATCAGTACATGCTGAGAATGTCAAAATCTGCAAGCAGTTCCGAATAAAACAGGTAGGGTATTCTGAGAGAACGGCTAGCATTGCCTCCCTAATGTATGGATGAAGGGATTGGGAATTAGGAAGCTTTGGCTACTCTCCGTAGTATACTTTCAGCTCTCTTTTACTCTGATTGGGCAAAGTTTCTGCATGCCATAGCAAACTTGGGTGCATGTTCCAGATAGTTTTGGAAAATCCAATGGCTGATGAAAATGAAACACATATATACCAAATATTCTGAGAATCATGTGGCTTTGTTACTATGATAGAAATCTGATAAGTGAAGGGAAAAGTAGTACTGTGATTTACATTAGAAATAACAGTATAGAAAAGGAGAAGGAGAAGGAGGGACTCTTACCCCATTTCAAAGGCTCACAGGATAAATAATTTGCCCAAGGTCACATAGCTGGTAAGTGGCAACACAGGGTTTCAAGCTAATTCTCTCTGTTTTCAAAGTCCATGTTGTTTTTACCCCATTCAGGGGTAAAAATAAGATTATTTTAAAAGAACTCATAAGTGAAGTATTAGGGCAGAGTTGGATGGAGGATAAAGACGAGTTGCTTAACCAGTTTGGGGATTAGATTAGATGCTATCTAAGGCCCTTCCGATTCTAAAGTTCTGTGATTCTGATTTTTGACAGAGTATATATAACACTAGTACATATATACCGCAACACCCATAGAATGTCAAATTGACTAGAAAATCACACCATAAATAATAAGATGGTGGAAATAAAAAATTACACATTCAGTTTGAACAGTGTGTTTAGAGGTGATAAAATTACATGCAGAAAATGTGTATGTTAATATAAATGTTAGTATAAATTTCTTACATTAGTCAAAAATATATCCACAGTTTTAACCTACAGTACAATGTTTATAGCATTGGCCATTAGATGTCAAACTGAGTTACATAGATGTGGTGATTGGCCAAAAAGAACCCTTTAAATGAGGGCGTATTCAGAAACAAAACAAAACAAAACAAAAAAGATGAGGGCATGTCAGAAGGACGCAGGAATCAACCTGGAAAATCTCCCAATAGCCAAAATGAAATAATGAGAGCAACAAAATAAATTGGATTATATCGTAGGTATTGGATGTACAGTATTGGATTATAAGCCAGGAATTAAAAGAAATCTATAAATCCATACCAGTTTATTTTTATTTATTTATTCTCGACAGATAAAAATTGTATATATTTAAGATGTTAAAAAAAAAAAAGAACCAGTTAGTGAGTTCTGTTACCGTTAGTGATTTTGGTAAAAATCTGATACTGTGTAGAACTATGCTGTCTTGTATGGTAGCCCCTAGCCATGGGTAGCTATTTAAAGTTAAATTTATTAAAATTAAATAAAATAAAACATTCAGGTCCTCGACAGCACTGATCACAGTTCAGGTGCTCAACAATCGCATGTAGCCAGAGGTTGCTATGTTGGACCGCGCAAACAGAACATTTCCATCAGCACGGAAAGTTCTGTTGAACAGTGCTAGTATAGAGACTTACAGAAAGAGCTGGATAGGTGCTAAGAGGGGTTATTTCTCTTATAAGATCCTTCAGTTCATTCAGATGTAGGAAAGCCACACAGATCCCACAGCTTATTCTGGCTGATTCTCAGAACAGCCTTCTGACTAAAGTCACCAGCATCCAACCCCCAACACATCTGCACTTTCTGTCTCTAAACAAATTGGTGAAGAAAGAGCAGAAAGGGGAGGTCTAACTATGGGATTCCACATTCAGAGCTTTGTGAAAGGTGATTGAAAGTAACCAAATTGATGTCTTATCTTTTATTTTATTAGGCCTCCAGACAGTTCCAGTCAATTCTGCAAGAAAGACAATTACTCCCTGCTTGGGAAGAAAGAGAAAACATTCTTAAACTGTTGAGCAAGCACCAAGTGCTTGTTATAAGTGGTATGACTGGGTAAGAATGTGATTTATTTCTAATTCAGCTTTCATCTATAGATACGGTGTGTGCCCTGGTTACCACCACCAGTTCTACTTTAAAAAAAAAAAAAACAGTTGCTGGTGTTATTTGTGCTTTTTCCTGTTAAATATTGAATAATATTTCACAGAGGCAAATAATGTGGCAACTGTAGCCTATAGAGCCAAATTACAAAAAAACAAACAAAACTCAGAAATTTAGGATTTTTAAAAAGTTTTATTTATTTATTTTATATTTATTTTTGGCAGTGTTGGGTCTTCGTTTCTGTGCGAGGGCTTTCTCCAGCTGCAGTGAGCGGGGGCCACTCTTCATCGCGGTGCACGGGCCTCTCACTGTCGTGGCCTCTCCCATTGCGGAGCACAGGCTCCAGACGTGCAGGCTCAGTAGTTGTGGCTCACGGGCCCAGCCGCTCTGCGGCATGTGGGATCTTCCCGGACCGGGGCACGAACCCATGTCCCCTGCATTGGCAGGCGGATTCTTAACCACTGCGCCACCAGGGAAGCCCAGAAATTTGGGAATTTATAGATATTGTATACCTCTGCCTTAAGACAATTTTAAGGCAAAAGGCCTAGCTGAAGGCTTTTAACAAGGCCCATTTTAAAATGTTAAGGACAGTTCCAGAACATTTAGCTTGAAACTTCAGAAATGAATTTTCTAAATTTATTCTTATTTCCTTAAAGCTTTTGTTTAAGAACAACTTAGGGTACATTATTTTTCCTGTTCCACACTCTCCATATGTTATCCAAACCTACTTGGCAGGGACAAGTTGCAGGCTTAATCTAGTTCTGTATTCAAGGGTCTTCAATTTAAGAATTACATTTGTGCCCAGACTCACAGATATAGTAGTAACTTTGTATCTTCCAGTTTCTTATCTTTTAAACCTCGGTCAGTACTTTGGTATAGCCAAAGCAATACCACACCAATGGGAAAAATATAAAGTATTTTAATAATCATAAGATAATATTCCTGATTCTTTAGGATTCACATGTAGAGTTCACATTCCTGAAGGCATTTATAGAGCTTAACCTAATGTTTATTCAGTAGTCCCAGTTTTACAAATAATAGTGAACTATTATTTGATTGCCCTGTTAACCTAAGTGCAAATTCCTAGGAGTTACCAGCTATAGGTAATAAGTCAGTAGGTAGGTTTAGAAGGTAGATGAAGCTGAACAACTTTTATTCTAATTAGCTTCTTACTTTCCTCATTGGATATGATTGCTTCTTTAGTTAACTAGAGCACTTGAAAACTCTTATTTTAGGACTTATTTGTTTTGACATACAGATGTGGGAAAACCACACAGATTCCACAGTTTATTCTGGATGATTCTCTGAACGGACCACCTGAGAAGGTGGCTAACATCATCTGTACCCAACCCCGACGAATCTCTGCGATCTCTGTCGCCGAACGTGTTGCTAAAGAAAGAGCAGAGAGAGTGGGTCTGACTGTGGGATACCAGATCCGGTTAGAAAGTGTCAAGGTTTGTATGCTTTTCTTATTTCCTGATGACAGAAATTTACAATTTTCAAGTATAAAGAGCCCTTGGGGTCTGAAGATTCTGGGCAAGTTGGAATATATACTTCAATAGGGCTGAAGTCCTTTTAGAAATATTTTGGTTTAAACTCTTTTTGGGGTGTACTTAATTTCCTCTGTAAAGACCTTCTATTCTTTATTGGCAGAAGTGATCTAGTAGGTGCTGCTTTGTTCCTAAACTGGGACTTAATCCATTTAACCAAATATGGAATGAACAAATTCAGAATTGATTTCATCACTCACTGTTATTTTTATGTTTTATAATAATTTTTGAATGCTTTCTATGAGTCTTAAAAGTTTGATGTAAAGTAGAAAAGCTTTTGTTGTTGCCAGCAAGAAACTATGCATTTAGTTTCTTGGTTTATATTAAAACTGCTGGTGTTTTCAGTATTCTTTATCCCTATCCATTAAAAATGGCTTTGCCAGGAAAGTGTTTCCTTTTTTCAGAAAGTTCAATAAAGCTTTCTATGCCCTTTTACGTGTAAGTCCTCAGCCACCAGACTGTTATACTGCACCACAGGAGTGCTGCTAAGAAGGCTAGAGGGGGACACAGCCCTACAAGGAATCACCCATATCATTGTTGATGAAGTCCATGAGAGGACAGAAGAAAGGTAAGGCAAAGATTTTACAGATGAATACCCACACACGTCAAATGAAGACATGGCTGAAAGGATTTTATTCTGCTTCCAGTTAAGTTCCTTAGAGCTAGTAATGGTAATTGCCATAGGGAAGGCTTAAGTTAGAGAAGAGGAACTGCCTTCCTGGTCTCCAGGGTCTGTGACACGAAAAATGCTAGGAGAGCACATGTTCATCACTGGAAGAGTCATCCTATTAGATGGACATCGTCTAATAAGAGGCACCATGCTGAGCTGGGTGCTGTACTTAGCAGGAATATCAGATGTAATGCATGCTATAGCTGATGGATTGGTCAATATGTGCTTCCTTCTTTGTGCATTTGGTCAGTCATTCAGTCCTGACATTCATTCATGTATTTATTGAGCCTGCATTAAGTGCCAAGTGGCCTATTAATTGCTGGGGATACTGTAGTGAACAAACATATATGTTTCCCCTTTATGTCTTATCGTCTGGTAGGAAAAACAAATAATGAATAGGTAAATAAACAAGTAAGTAAATAACAACAAATTGGAATAAGTACCATAAAGGAATAAACAGGATGCTGTGTTTGGGGAGAGAGAGCCACGAGATAATCAGAAATTATACCTCTGAAGAGATTACATTTAAATTAAAAACAGAAGTATGAAAAGGAGTCTCATGAGATATATGAGGGCAAGGTCAGCATTTGCAAGGACTCTGCAGTGGTAAGGGGCTTCATGAGTCCAAAAACTGGAGGAAGGCCAGTGTGCAGCTGGTATGTAGTGAATGAGGGGAAAAGTGACAGCTAAAAAAAGCAGGAGACTATGCACCATTAATAATAAAGCATTTGGATTTTACTTTAATGGAATTAGAAGTCATTAAAGGGTCAAGGTATAAAATCAAAATTCTCAATATTTTAAAATGAAGGGCCAGATAAATAGATGGCATTGATCATAGTTTGTCGTGTAGATCATGCTCTAAAGTAGTAAAGAAGTAGTGGGAAAAAGAGAGATGATCCTGTGCAAATCATGAGGCTTTCCCAAAAAGGACTATATTGTTATTAATATCTTGAGAAGAAGAAAGTCTAAGTAAAGTTGATGCGCTGACAGAGAAGCAGAAAATAGATCATAGCAAAACTAAAAAAAAAGAAACAAACATGAAAAGAGGTCCCAGCTATTGCTGATAAAAAGTTTTTAAAAAATAAACGGGGAAGACATGTAAACAGAAGACTATTTGTTAGAAGAAATAAATACACTAATATAGAAGTAATTAAGAAATATAAAGAAATTTGAAACTAAAGAAAAAGATTTTTATATAAAAAGAATATATCAGGGAATTTCATGGTGGTCCAGTGGTTAATACTCAGCACTTTCACTGCTGGGGCCCTGGACTTGATCCCCGGTCAGGGAACTTAGATCCTGCAAGCAAGCAGCGTGATGTGGCAAAAAAATTTTAAAAAGAATAAAAAGAATAGATCAAAATAAAAGGAAATATTTCCTAGAACAAGACAATAATAAATTTTAAATAGCTATGTAGAAAACACTGAAAGTCTTTGAGGGGCAAATAATGTTTTTGTTGTTGTTGTTGGTTGCGGCTTGTTTTGGTACGCGGGCCTCTCACTGCTGTGGCCTCTCCCGCTGCGGAGCACAGGCTCCGGACCGCAGGCCCAGCGGCCATGGCTCACGGGCCCAGCCGCTCCGTGGCATGTGGGATCCTCCCGGACCGGGGCACGAACCCGTGTCCCCTGCATCGGCAGGCAGACTCTCAACCACTGTGCCACCAGGGAAGCCCGCAAATAATCTTTAAGTAGAGACTCCAGAAAACAGTTGGGAAAAAAATAAATGGTAAATAATGTCACTTTGCACCTAAATGTTGAAATGATCATTTGAAATAATTTATTTTAACAGAATCACTGAACAACCTCAAAGAGGGAATCAAATAAAACATTCAGCCAAACTAATAATATTTAAATGATTGTATTATAAAAATAAAATTTTAATTTTAGGGGAAATTATGTCCAATGTAATTTTGAACATAAAGAGTAGCTTTGGGTTTCATAACATTTATACTTCCACAAACTCAGTGAAACTGGATGATAGCACTTGATCTAGTTCCTGGCTGCAATGATGTTCTCAAAAAGAGATTTTTATAAAACCTAATGACCTATAGAATATCAACAGTTAAAAACAAAGTATTTTCACATCCGAATAAAGGTAAATTACACACTGGAGAAGGGAGATTTGAGCATTTACAAATACCAGTCTTTGGGAATGGAGTACACAAATTATAAGAAAAAGTAGGGGAATATTTGCTAGCTCTGACTGAAAGAGGCAGAAAATAGGGGGTGGTGGTGTGATGAATTGGGAGATTGGGATTGACATATATACACTAATATGTATAAGATGGATAACTAATAAGAACCTGCTGTATAAAAGATAAATAAAATTTAAAAATTAAAAAAAGAAAGTAAAATCTAGGAACCAAGATCAGTTAAAAAATAAGTAAGATAAAAGGTTGAATATAGAAAATTTAGTTATATTTGTTTAAAATTTTTAATACATTTTCTGATCATAGAGATAATGACATTATTCTAACACATTTAGGCAATATTAAATGTCAAGAAGAAGAATTTCTGTCCCTTATAGAATTGCTAATTACGTTAACAATTTGTTCTGTTTTCTTCTGGGAGTATATTGGGAGTTAGCAGAGAGATGTATCTCCACAAACACTATTGGGATTATATACTGTTGTGTGCTGCATGTGGTCTAATAGTTAATATGAGAGCATGAACTACCTTTGAAATTATTGCTAATAATTGCATGAGGAAATTCTAACATGTGGATGTACCATAAGTTACTTAACCATTTACCTATTGTTATATTATTTTCCTTTTCCCTAAAAAAGAAAAAGAATAGTCATAAATGTAATTAAATTAGCTCATTAAAGAAAACTAAGTAGTTCAAAAATATACTCATTAAAAATTCAAACAAGGGCTTCCCTGGTGGCGCAGTGGTTGAGAGTTCGCCTGCCGATGCAGGGGACACGGGTTCGTGCCCCGGTCTAAGAAGATCCCACAGGCCGCGGAGCGGCTGGGCCAGTGAGCCATGGCCGCTGAGCCTGTGCATCTGGAGGCTGTGCTCCGCAACGGGAGATGCCACAACAGTGAGAGGCCCGTGTACCGCCAAAAAAAAAAAAATTCAAACAACACAGATAAAGTGAAAGTCCCCTGTAACACTCCCAAACCATTCCCAGTCCCTGCCCCAGAGATAACTACGGTGATCAGATTGGTGATATGTCCTACTGTACATTGACATATATGCTTGCTTTATCAGAAATAGGTACTTTTATTTCCAGAACTTTTTTTCTAATACAAATTATATATTCATTTAGTAAATCAACAAACATTTATTGAGCACCTACTATATCCCAGGCAGTGCTCCAGGTACTGAGTAGTATCTTGTAGAACAAAATAACCAAAATCCCCATCCTCATAGAGCTTATATTCTAGTGAGAGAGCCCAACAATAAGCAAGATAAAGAAGTAAAATATAAAGTATGTTTGTTAAGTGCTAAGAAGAGAAAGGGTAATATGAAATGCAAGGGAGGGGAACATTTGAAATTTTAAACATGGTGGCCAGGGAAGGCCTAGCTGCAAAGGTACATTTTGAGTAAAGACTCAAAGTGAGTGAGTGAGCTACCTCTTGAATGTCTGGGAGAAGCCCTTTCTAGGCACATTAATAACATGTGCAAGGGACCTGGGGTCCATGTCTCAAAGACAGCAAGGAGGACAGTGTGGCTGGATGGAGCCAAGTGATGAAGGGGGAGAGCGACAGGAAATGAGCAGTGAGGGTACAGATCATGTCACATAGGGCCTCGTTAGTGAGGACTTTGATAAGAAGTCGTTGAAGGATTTTGAGCAGAAGAGTGGCACAATCAGATTTACATTGGCACAGAATTATTGGTCTACCGTACTGAGAATAGATTTTAGAGGGGCAAGGGCTGAAACAGGGAGGCCAGTTAGGACATTGCTGTTCTGCGGTACATATTGTTCTACAGCTTGGGTTTCTTTCACTAACAATATCTCTTAGAGATGTTTTCATGTCTGTATCTAGAGCTCTACTTTATTCCTTTTATCTGCCTCATGTTATTCCTTAGAATGGATGATATTGTCATAAGTAACCATTTCTTGGTTGATAGACGTTTTGGTAGTTTCCACTGATTTACAAACAATGCTATAATGAAAATCGTTGTATATACCTCTTTATCTACATGTAGATATCAAGAAGTGGAATTATCAAATGCAATGATGAATGCTGTTGGTATTTTGATTGGCACTACACTGAATTTAGTTTATTTGGTGGGAAATTGATATCTTTACAACATTAAGTCTTCACATCTAGGAACATGACACATCTTTCTATGAGTTATAAATTTTTTTCACATAAGTCTTACACTTACTTGAAATATGTCAAGTTATTAATTTTCATGTATTAAATTTGTTTGATCCTCAGATGTTTCTTTTATTTCCTCTAGTGACTTCTTACTGCTAGTTTTGAAAGACATTGTGTTGCAGAGACCAACTCTTCAAGTTATTCTGATGAGTGCAACTTTAAACGCTGAGCTCTTTTCAGAATATTTTAATTCCTGCCCAGTTATCACTATACCAGGTGATTAAAATCCATCATTAAATATGTATTGTCCTAATAAGCAAATATAATTATTTTAAAGTTCATTTGAGATATAAATGAATGAGTATTTATATCTTTTTCTAGAAAAGAACTGATTAGTTTATAACAAATAAAATCATAACCATATAATGAAATTATTAAAGAGGTAATGTTATATTCATTTGCTGGGAGATTTCAATTTATATGTGCTTTTAAAAAAAGAAGTCTAGGTTATTAGGATTTCTAGCATTCTGTTGTGTTTAACATCAAAATGTGAGTTTATAATGGTAATCTATCATAAAGGGAAAAGTTGTATCTGTGTATAGCATATTTGTTCATTGCTGGATTCTGCTAAACTTCTGGATATTGGTCCACTCTGGGACCAAGTGAAATTGGACAGTCTGTGTCTTCTTTTGGTGCTTTCACAGTCTCATTGTGGGATTAATTTATCACCTTGGGCTTTGGTTTATCATTCTGCAGTTGATTGGTAAAGAACAATTTGGAAACACTGAGTGGTGAATAATTCGTTCTAGTTGTAGAGGATATCGACAGTAGATTTAAAGATGAAATTATATGCTTGATCTAGAATACAATTGTTGACTGTTTAAAGGTCCCCTGCAGGGAAGCAGAGGGGAATAAAAAGGTTTAACAGATTTTTTTTAAAAAGAGGTTAAAAAAAGTCTTATTAGCAAATGATCATCTCTCCAACTATGCACTTCTGTTTTATTTACTAACTAGAACCTACTCCTTCCATTTTTATCATGAAAAGCTTTTTCTGAATACTTGTAAGACCACAGAGTAAATAGTACCTTACTGTGCCAGGCTTCGTTTTAAGACAATTTTACATATACAAACAGTTTCAAGATAGTTGAACGGGTATTCTGAGACTTTTCTGTTTTATTTTCTTGTTTTCCTAGGTCGTACATTTCCTGTTGATCAATTTTTTCTGGAAGATGCAATTGCTGTGACAAGGTAAGGAAGATATTAATTAAAGTTTGGTGAAAGTCCTTGAAAACAGAATGACTATTTTACCTCCGTGTGCCTGGATACTAATAAACGGGTTAATTTTTCTTCTAATTTTTCTATTTGAGCATTTTGTTTTCCCCTTTCAGCGAATATTTATTATACAAATTATTTGAATTCAAAGGCAATATTATATATTAAGAGTACTGACTCAGGAATCCCTAATGTAGACTAAGGACCTTGGGTGATAATGATGTATGGATGTCAGTTCATCAGTTTTAACAAATGTACCACTCGGGTTGGGGATATTGCTAATGGGGGAGGCTATGCGTAGGGCAGGGAGCAGGGGGTGTATGGGGAATCTCTGTACCTTCTGCTCAGTATTGCTGTGAACCTAAAACTGCTTTAAAAAGTAAAGTCTGTTTAAAAAATGATGGGGAATTCCCTGGCGGTCCAGTGGTTAGGACTCGGCGATTTTACTGCGGTATACCCTGGGTTCAATCCCTGGTCGGGGAAACTAAGATCCCACAATTTTTGTGGCATGGCCAAAGAAATAAAATAAAATAAAAATAAATAAAAAATAAAAAATGATGGACCAAATCTATGGAGAATTTAACATGGAAAAAAAAAAGTACTAATTCTGCAGACAGACTACTAGTATTTAAATCCCTCTACTTACCAACTGTAACACTGGTGAGTAGCTTAATCTCTCTGTGACTTAGTTTCATCATATGTAAAGTGTGCATATTAAAAGTAGCCTCTTCAAGAGTTATGAGAATTAATTAATATTTGGAGTTAATACTTGCAAAGGGCTTAGAACTGTGCCTGGCATATATCAAATGCTTTATATATGTTATCTATTATTATCATTATTATTCTGCCTTCAAGGAGTTTGCAGTACATATGAGTGTATAAGTTCTGTACCGGATAGAAGGTGGTAATGTCTGTTGGATATCAACAGATTTCTCCCCTCTGAAAGCTCTGCTTCCTCTTCCTACTCTTTGACCTTGAAGATTCCCCAGGGTTTTATCCTTGCACTGTTTCTTCTCACTGTTAAATTCTTGCTTGGCTCTCTAAGACTCATGTGATTTCAGCTGTCACCCCTGTGCTGAGAACTCCCAGATTGGTATCTTCATTCCTGACCTCTGAGCTCCAGAATGGAAACAACTTTGATGTCTGACACCTTAAACTCAACCCAGAAGTTTTTCTTTCTCTTTGCTCCTTCCATTCCTAATAAGCCCCCTCCTAATTCTACGTTATTTAATGATACACTATTCTCAAGCTAAAAACCCCGAAACAGTGGCTCTCAAACTTTAGTGTGCAGTAAGCATACTTGGAGAGCTTATTAAAATTGTTGTTTTGTGGGCCCAATCCCACTTCCATTGAATGTGAATCTCTGGGGAAATCATCTTTCAGCTAGTTTCCCTGTCTTTTTTCTCTCACTTTTCCAAATTCACTGCCTCCAGAATTATCTTAAAACAGAGCCAAAAGCATTCCAGTGTGTTCCCCACCAGCAATAGGGCACGGCAGACAGAATCCTGGACTGGTGGAAGAATAGCACTTGAATTGGGCAGAAGCAGAGCAACATTCTGCTGAATGAGCACGGAAAACAGGTGAATAGTGTCATTCCTCACCAACAGACCCGCATCCACAACCACACATTTCTTTGTCTTCTTTCCTCAGGTATGTGTTGCAGGATGGGAGCCCATATGCGCGCTCCATGAAACAGATGTCAAAGGAGAAGCTCAAGGCGAGGCGCAGCAGAACCGCGTTTGAGGAGGTGGAGGAGGACCTGCGCCTCTCTCTGCACCTCCACGATCCGGATTCCACCAAAGATGCCGTGCCAGATCAACAGTTAGATTTTAAGCAGCTCCTGGCCCGCTATAAAGGTAATGTACTTCCTGGGGGGAATATTACAATTATGCCAAAGATAACTAGTTTTTCTCACGCCATGATCCAGAAGAAGAAACGTGGCTGTTGTTTCATAGTTACCTTGTCTTTAGTTCATCACAACAACCTTAAACTTAGAAAAATAACAGTTCTAATACATATTAGATTAAAATTGTTATTATATTTACCAGTGGGTTTTTTCCTGATTGTAAATGTGTTCATTATAGAAAAATTGGGAGGTAGTAAAATATAAATTATATTCTTGAGTGTTTTGTAACTTTGCATTTTGATATGATTTCGAATTCAGAATTAAAAATTTGCAAGACTACAGTGAACTCTCATATATCCTTTACCCTGATTCACCAGTTATTAACATTTTGCTTCATTTGCTTTATTATTTGCTCTGGGTGCATATATATATTTTTTTCCTGAATGTTTTGAGCGTAAATTGCAGATATGATGCTCCTTAACCCGTAATATTTCAGTATGTATTTCCTCAGAACAAGGACATCCTCTTAGATAACAATAGGATATGGGAATTCCCTGGCGGTCCAGGGGTTAGGACTCTGCCGCTTTCACTGCCGGGGCCCGGGTTCAATATCTGCTCGGGGAACTAAGACCCCACAAGCTGCACGGCATGGCCCCAAACAAAAACAAACAATAGGACATGATCAAAATGAAAACATTTAACACTAATACAGTACTACTGTTTAATCCACAGTCCATATTCTAATTTTGTCAATTATTTCAATAATGTACTTTATTGCTATTTTTTAAGTGGTACAGGACCCAACCGAAGATTACATATTGCATTCAGTCATCATGTGTCTTTAGTTTCTTTCTATCTGGAGAAATTTGCCAGCCTTTATTTTTCTTCTATGATTTACATTTTTAAGGAGTTTGGGCCAATTATTTTGTAGAATGTCCCTCTGTTTGGGTTTATCTAACGTTGCCCCATGATTAATTTTAGGTAATGCATTTTTGGTTAGAAAACCACAGAAACAATGTTGAGTCCTTCTCAGTGCATCATATCAGGAGGCACATGATGTTGGTTCGTCCCATTATTAGCAGTATTAACTTTGATCTTCTGGTTAAGGTGATGCCTACGTTTCTCCTCTGTGTAGTTACTATTTATTCCCTTTGTAGTTAATTAAGTTAGTTGTGGAGAGAGATTTGAAACTATTTATCCTATAACATCCTCAAAATTTCACCCACTAGTTTTAGCATTTTTCAGTAGGCCTCGAAAATGACATCTTTTTTCAGGGCCCACCCTGTGCTGAGCATTTTTATATATGTTGTTAGGTGCTCCCTCCTCCCATGCCGGACTCCACGCAGCTTTGTTCCTAGATAGTCTTCCATACGTTCAGCTGGGCTGAACCCATAGAAACCCTAAGGTTACTACTTTTGCTTTCTTCCTAAAGCCTAGACAGGTCTCAGCTGCCTTTCCTGCTCTCTTTTCCGTGGACTGCCACCCCAACTCCTCTTGGTCCTTCCAAAAAAAAAAAAAGGTGTTTACCTTTCAAGGAGTAAGAGCCTCCAACCCCTGTTACTGTGCTTCTATAGCAGAAAAGGCAAGTGAGTTTTCCTTTTTCTCCTTCCACCAAAGATGCAGTCCTGCATGGGAAATGGTAATCATAAAGGAATTAGGGCATTAGCCATTTGTTCTGCCGTTTAGGAAGATATACGTGGCTCCCAAACATTTCACTTAATCTTCCCAACATCCTGAGAAGTAAGGTTAAGAACATAGACATGTATCTTACAGACCTGGATTCGACTCCCCAGGCTCTCATAAAACCAGTTATATGCAAGTTTCTCATCCTCTCTATTCCTCAGTTTCCTTACCTATAAAATGCCGTTATTTAGGAGATTAAATAAGAATACAAATCCACAGCATAGTGCCCAGAGCTGGTAAGTGCAGATTTGTGATTCTCATGGAAATGTCTGACTCAAATGTGTTCTTTCTGTACATCATTCCAGCTGACAATTCCCAATTCCTTATTCTATTAAATTAGTTAACAGGAAAATCTCTTTGGTTTCTCTTTTGAAATTCCAGAGTTTTCTTTAAGAATTATGACTGGATCTAAGCCACGGTCTTTCTAATGTCAAGCACAGAGATATCAAAGTTCAGAAAGCACCTCTGAGAACTCTTTTCTAAGGATTTGAGGTTGGGAAACCTGGCTCTACCACTAGCTTCTGTATGATGCTGGGCTGATTGATCACTTAGCTTCTCCGAGTCTCCTCTTTCCTATGAAACAAAGACTTTATCTAGTTGATCTCAGTGCTCTCTTTCAGAAAATTAAACAATGTTCCCTAGCTCGATTTTTAAAACTTTTTCTAGTTAAAAAATAATAATAATCAGTCTTTTAAAATATATAAATGATTAGTAAAACCTGCCAAAGTATAAAAAAAAATTTTTTTTAATGATTTTCGTTTCCCTTTTTTTCAGTTAGCTGATTCTTTCTCCTTTTTGAAAAGTCTGGCTATTTGGAATCTTGGCAAATAAAAATGATTCCTGCTCTGCCATCCACACCCAACCACACTTTTGCTTGTGTAGCTTATTTCTTCCTTTCTTTCATTTTTTACCAACATAGGGTTCATTCTTCAGAACAACATTGTTTAGCAACTGCTTTTGCCTCTCTTGAAGCTTTTCAGCAAAGCGTAAAAAACTTCCCTTCCTTCATACCAACTACAGTTATTTTGCTCCAGTTAGACTCTATTTCAGGTGATGGGTCATTAGAAAGAACTAAAAAGAAAAGGCAGCCATCTTCAGAGAATTAGTCTCCCCAGGCATATGCTGTTTGTTCTTAAAAGAGCTGAGGCTTATAGTGCAACACAAGGAAGTATGTCTTTTACTAGGCTTCCGATGAATTAGAAGGAGATTGTAGACCCTGAACCTGAGGGTCGATGGGTAGACTTCAGGGGTATTGGTGAAGCCATTAAAATCACATGTATTTTTCAGGGAAGATTCATAACTTTTATGATTTTCCCAAGGAACTTAAAAGTCACTGTTATAAAGTTGCTGCTGTAAAGTCACTGTTGTAAAGTAAAGCTGTGGCCTCTGTGCACTGATTTTCACAGTTACTGTTGCCTGGACTTTTGGCTGATCTGACTCACAAGTTGATTGAATCTGGAAAGGTTTTCTGAAATATATTTGATATATTTATATATAAATATATAGAGAGAATATACTTATATAAATATAATATATAAATATATATACTATATATCTGAAATATATATAAAATATATTTTATATGATAGATAAAAGGGGAAGGAAAGAGAAAAGTTAAAAGTTGCTTCTCTTGGCCTTTCCAGCAGGGGCAGGAGCCTGCTCTTTGGGTCATTGTTCAAGCAAAAAGTGCTTCTAGTGAGCCTGTATTTTCTGAGAGACTGAAGGAAAAAAGTTCATTTCAGTACATTAAATGTGAACATCTGTGTTATTAAATCAAATCAAGACACCCACTTAGTTCCCAGGCATATTTTCTTCAATAAGGTGTAACTATCCTGATTTTTACCTTTCTTTCAGGGGTTAGCAAATCAGTCATCAAAACAATGGCCGTTATGGATTTTGAAAAGGTTAATCTTGAATTAATCGAGGCCTTGTTAGAGTGGATTGTGGATGGAAAGCACTCCTACCCTCCAGGTAACTGCTACCTGTCTTAAGTGTGAGACGGCAAAGGGCAGGGAGTCTACTTCCTGAGATGGTGGGGATTGTGGGGACAGCCTCTCTTCCTGGAGCCCTCGCCCTGGTTCCTCACCTTTTCACCCCCAGTTGTGTGTACAGTTGCTTATTAGGTTTTTCAGGAGGAAATTTTACCGTTTACCTTTTGAGGAAGTTTTACCTTTTACCCACTGAGCAAAAAGATGTTAACAAGACAAAGTCCAAAATGAAGAAGGCTGAAAAGAAGGCCTGGGTGTCCACATGTCAACACTCAGTCCCTGGCTAAATGGGAGTCTAATAATGAGTGTTTGAATCATGTGAAGACTATACCTGGAGGCCACAGGGCAATGGGGTTAAGAGAACAGGCTTTGGAAAGTCTGATAAAATTCCCTGCTACTCCGAGCTCTGTTACCTTGGATAATAAAGTCCTTATCTTTTCTATGCCTCAGGCTCCTTGTTTGTAAAATGAAGACAATAATAAATCCTCTATGTTGAGGATTAAAAGAAACCATATACAAAGCGCTTAGCACAGTGCCTGACATATATTTAATGCCCAGTAGCTACTACCCCTAACAATATTATAGTTATGCTAGTATATTTATCATTGTTATTATTATCACTGTTACTACTACTACTCCTACTGTTATAACGCAGAGCAATCCCTCCCTTCCCCTTGCTCAGTGTCTTCCCAGTGACCTCTTTACCTCACTTGTAGTCCGTTATCTCCAGAATGAATGTCCCAGATCTTCTCATAACTGAATCCTTCACATCATTCAGGTTTCCAACAAATGTCTTCTCTTCAGAGGAGTCTTCTCTGACTACCCTATCTGTTGTCTGTCCCCTCACTCTATCACAATATCCAAAAATGGTTTTCATTTTCAATATAGCACTCAACACTATCCAAAATTATAGTTCTGCTTACTGATGGTCTCCTTCAGTAGAATGTAAGCTCTTTAAGAATAAGAATTTCTCATGTACCACTGTATTCCTCAGACCCTAGAACAGAACCTGGAATCTTAGGTATGGAGTAAATATTTGTTGCATGAATAGATGCAGCCATTGTTGAGTGATAATTAAGTGGAATCATAGATCAGAAAACTACATTATATGCTCACTACACAGTGCTTAATGACTGCCCTCTACTGATTAGATCTTAATCATTATGTGGTATTTTCTAAGGAAACATGTGAGCCACATAAAATTATTGAAGTGCCTTGTTTCTCATTCCTTGGCAAGTAGCCATTGTTGGCTAATGCATTATCACTGGATGGAATATCTTATTTCATCCCAAAGGAAAAGACTATTACTGAAAAAAATCAAGTATAGCATCCAAAAAGAAATGTTAGAAAATTATCTGAATTCAAAGCAAAGTTGATGTAGTGATTAGGCAGTTGGTGATATATTTGTGAATATTAAAGATATCCTTGATACAGATGGCCAAGCCATGAGGGCAGAGCAGATCAGAAGGCACATAAAAATACAGACAAATTTTTTTTTCCATCCATATAGATTATTTTACCACTCTTAAATTTTGTGCTACTTTAGTAGAGAAGCATGGGGTAGGTAATGGAAAAAGCATGGATCTGGTACCAGAAACCCTATATTTGTTTTCATACTCCCCTCTTATTAAGTTCTGTGACCTGACCATGTTACTGAGTCACCTTAAGGGTACTATTAATCTTCTTAACGGGTGGTTATGAGGATCAAATGAGATAATATATGTGAACATTCTTTGTAAACTATGAAGTACAGTATTAAAACCAACCTTGAAAGATAATCTTTTGTCCTTCTTCAGAGTTCAATTTTTGTAATAATTTAGTTTCCTTATTTACTTAGTGGGGAGAATAACCATGATAAATTATTGGTCATGAGTTCCTTGTGGGCAGATCTTTGTTTTATTTTCCATTGTACCTAGCACAGAGCTGACAAAGACACCCAATAAATATTTGTGGGATTAAAGGCGGGGTTAGTGAAGACAGTGTCAATTTCCTCTGTGAATAAAGCACAAAAGGAGGTGACTATTGCTGAGTGACTGCTCTTGGCACAGAAATACACTATAATCAGTTATCACTGCTTATTTTCTTTAATGTAAAATTTTAAAGCCCATAAACCATTATTATGGCATGGTAAGTTAATATACTGCCTCTTCAACACATATCTAAATTTAGATTACCAGATTGGCTGGCCAATTATAGTTTCTTTTTCTCATTTCCAATAAAATGTTTATGGATTTTATTTACTAATGGGGAGAAGAGTCTTCCTGTCATATAAGATTAGAAGGATAACTCTTTCTACAGAAACAGAATGTCAGTGGCCAGTGCACTGAAGAAGCCTGTTTAAAGAGCTTTGCTAATGATTCTTGTATAACGTAGGGCATTATATATTTCTACACATCATTTCTTTTTCTGTTTTCGAAAGATATAGTATCTCATTCATTCTGTAGTTATTAAGTCAGAAAATATATTCTAAAAGTTTGTTTTCCATTTAGTTCCCTGGGGACTTTACAAAGAAAAGAAAATTGACTGTGAAAAATTTCAGATTATTACATTTTTCGTTTAAAATTAAATCTGTATTAGTTTTTTCTTTTTCACATCTATCAGATTGATTCTTTTTATATACCCAGGTGCTATACTTGTATTTTTACCGGGACTAGCAGAAATCAAAATGCTTTATGAACAGCTACAGTCTAATTCTCTATTCAACAACAGACGTAGTAATCGGTAAGTTAATTGCTTTCTATATTCTTAATCATCCATTGCAGTTATGTGTGAAAATGAATAACCAGGAAGACCTCTTTGACTGTCATCACCCTCTTTCAACCCTGGTGTCACTGCTCAAAAATATGTTTGTTTATGCCAGCTGGGAATAGACAAAACAGTTTGTTCCAGGGAGTCAGTTATTTCCATTCCATTATATAAAAATGTTTCTCTTCACTTAGCGTAGTGACTCAGCAAAATTGCATGTGCAGTTAACCCTAGAACAACACGGGTTTGAACTGCATGGGTCCACTTATACATGGATTTTTTTCAATGGTAAATACTATAGTACTGCATGATACATGGTTAGTTAAATCCATGGCTGCAGAACCACAGATACAGAGGAACCACATATACAAAGGGCCAACTATAAATTATACATGGATTTTTGACTGCTCAGAGGATTGGCCTTCCCTAATCCGCATATTTTTCTAGGGTCAACTGTAATTTCAGTTGCCAGATACTGGGGATTGGAGAAGCCAGTGTTAATAACAACAAAGAAATGTTACCATTTTGAGAAAAAATAATTTTCAGTGGTTCCTATTCCAGTAGTAAGACAGACTGGGTGTGTCTTCATATCTAAGGGGACACTGCTTGACAGATGAACACCCCCTAGAAATAGAAGACTGAAGTTTCTTAGCATACATGACTGTCTCTGTCTCTCTTTCTCTGAATTTAAAGGTAGGGAAAAAAATGATTCTCTGTTGGTTAGTGTGCTCCAGGCTTGTTACTTGTAGAATTGTAGAATGTCAACTATTTAGTCCTCTTGATTATTTACTAGTGAATTACACTCCAGTTTTTCCCAAGTTGATACAAAGTTTTTAGTTCATAGAACTGAGTAAATATTTTTTAAGGGTCAGAAAGAACTTTCCCATTTAGAAGACCTGGGCCTTGAGGACAGGTTGTGGAGAAGCTGCTGATTTTTGGAGTCACATTGTTAGTTTTAATAGAAATTCACCCATTATAACCCAATTTCAGTGTTTTGTACTAGAACACTAAATCCTTTTTTTTTTTTTTTTTTTTAGATGTGTTGTTCACCCACTTCATTCATCTTTATCCAGTGAAGAGCAGCAGGCTGTGTTTGTAAAACCTCCTATCGGTGTAACTAAGATTATAATTTCCACCAACATTGCTGAGACATCCATAACCATCGATGATGTTGTCTATGTCATCGATTCTGGGAAAATGAAAGAAAAGAGGTATCCTCTTTTGGTGATGTAAGAGAGGGGCTAACGATGCCTCATTTGGAGCAACACAGCTGTTAAAGGCTAATGCTATTAAGCTACATGGATTACGTTTGAAAAAATACTTTATGAAAACTCTGTAGATATGAGTGATTCTGTAGCTAGGATCATGAATCTTATATTCAAACAGAGGTAGAAATTTTAAGTTTTTACCTTAGAAATAATTATTTTTCCTCTTTTTCTTATATGCTTTACATGTTCTTGAATGAAAAAGAATTGGTATGGGAGGTGATGGAAATGTTAATTACCAAAAGGTTGGTAATCATTTCACAATGTATACATATATCAAAACATCACATTGTACACCTTAAATATCTGTAATTTTTATTTGTCGAAAATAAAATGAAAAAAAAATTTTTTTTAATTGAATAAAGAAACTGTATGTAGTATATAGTACAGAAACCATTTAAATTAGCACAAAGTGATCCCACCAGGGACTCAACTACCCCAGAACATGCGGGACACTGTCCTTCTACAGAAGTAGGATGGTTCATCTGTTCTGTCCGTGCTAAGTAAAATTTTGGCCACATTTTTATAAAGTAACTGCTTTTTACCTTTTCTTTTACTTTATAGATATGATGCCAGCAAAGGGATGGAAAGTTTAGAGGATACTTTTGTCTCTCAAGCCAATGCCCTGCAAAGAAAAGGTCGAGCAGGTCGTGTTGCATCTGGGGTCTGCTTCCATTTATTCACCAGCCATCACTTCAGTCACCAGCTTCTAAAGCAGCAGCTACCAGAAATACAAAGAGTGCCATTGGAACAGCTCTGTCTAAGGTACATCTTGATCCTTGTGTTCTGCTTCCGAAATGTCCCAACGTTTCTCACCCTAACTTCCATGTTTTCTTTTACTTAGTAGAAGATGTTTTGCTAGGCGTGGACTTGGATGAACTCATTCATTTGCAAAGAAAGAGCTCTTCAGTGTTGCCTTTACCATTCCTTTTAACTTTCTACACATAAAGATCTCTTGCATTGCAGAGGATGGCCCTAAAATAGAGCTTAAGAATACATTTATAAGTCAGCAAAGTAATCTAACTTATCAAGAAATTTCTGCTAGGGCAACACCAATATTAAATCATCGCAGGGGGAAATCTACACCCTCATTATCAGTTAGAACAAAGTGAACAAAGGCAATTTGAAAACGCCATTATTTACCTGATGAACAAACAAGAACAAATATAAAATAGAATTTAACGAATGAATGATTAAACTCAGTGTTAGTGAAGCTGGAGAACCTTTGGTTCAACCTTTCTGAAACTTTGCGTAGCGTATATAAGAACTCTAAAACTAGGGGCTTCCCTGGTGGCGCAGTAGTTGAGAGTTCGCCTGCCGATGCAGGGGACACGTGTTCGTGCCCCGGTCCAGGAGGATCCCACATGCCGCGGAGCGGCTGGGCCCGTGAGCCATGGCCGCTGAGGCTGCGCATCCGGAGCCTGTGCTCCGCAACGGGAGAGGCCACAACAGTGAGAGGCCCGCGTACCGCAAAAAAATAAATAAAATAAAACTATCCATGCTCTTTGACCGAGTCATTATTTTGAGGGAGTATGCCCATAAAATGTTTACCCAAAGGGAAAAAAGTTACTTGTAGAAAGATGTTACAGCTCTTCTTTTATCCAATAGGTGTATTTTGAGAGCCTTCCATTACATTAGTAAAAATGTAAAGGAATTATAAGTGAAATAAATAAACTTTATATATGTTAGATTTTTCTCTTTCGAAAATTGCCTAAATTCATAATTTAAAACAGCTTCTCAAGAGCTGTCACAAGGCAGGACACAATGCAGGTTAATTTTATAAACAATTATTATGCAATTTCAGATGTGGGAAAGAGAGTAGGTGGATCATTTGAATTTTATTTCATGATTTGAACCCACTGTTATAGAAAAAAGCATTTTGGAAGTTTATAGAGAGAAATATATTTTGAATCTCAGTAAATTTCAGAATCTGAAAGTGTTTCTGTAACTTATTGCTAGGAGAAGTAAAAGACATAAGAGATTTTTTTTTAACTTATTTAAACTGGCATGGTTTGGTTTATGAAAGCATATATTTGGAAAATTATAAATTATTTTCATTCACAGAAGAAGCTTACCTCTTTGTGTCATCCCACCAGAAATAAAAATGACAAATTGTTTTGTTTTCTTTTTTCAGAATTAAAATTTTAGAGATGTTTAGCACGCATAACCTCCAATCTGTGTTCTCTCGGCTTATTGAACCCCCGCACACTGATTCTCTCCGTGCCTCAAAAATACGATTACGAGACTTGGGAGCATTAACTCCAGATGAAAAACTGACCCCTCTAGGGTATCACTTGGCTTCTCTGCCCGTAGATGTCAGAATCGGAAAACTAATGCTGTTTGGGTCTATCTTCCGCTGTTTGGATCCTGCTCTCACCATTGCTGCGAGTTTAGCTTTTAAGTCTCCTTTTGTAAGTAAACAGCATCCATCTGAACTGGAGTCTGTAAGTCTCTAAGGGGACCATGGGGGCTTCAGGGTTATGTGGGCCCCTAATACTTTTCCTGTGAGTATATTATATGTGAATCTTTCAGGCACAATGTCTCTTAACTTTTATTGGATCCTCAAAGAAATCCATGCCCCAAATAAAGATTAAGAACTAGAGAGCCAGCTTATTTAAGTCATCTAAATGTGCTTTTTATGGATCTGCTTTACTTGCTCATTATAGGAAAACCAGAAAAGCAAGCAAGCAAAAAGTGCCCCTGCCTGATTTTAAAAAACAATAAATATATTGGAGTACTTTTTTCAGCAGCTTTGTTGAAATATAATTCACCCATGTAAAGTGTACAGTAGTTTTTAGTATTGTGCAGTCATCACCGTAGTCAGTTGTAGAACGTTTTTAATCACTTCATTAAAAAAAAACCTCTTAGGGGCAGGACAGGAATAAAGATGCAGACGTAGAGGATGGACTTGAGGACACGGGGAGGGGGAGAGGTAAACTGGGACGAAGTGAGAGAGTGGCATGGACACATACACACTACCAAATGTAAAATAGATAGCTAGTGGGAAGCAGCCGCATAGCACAGGGAGATCAGCTCGGTGCTTTGTATCCACCTAGAGGGATGGGATAGGGAGGGTGGGAGGGAGACGCAAGAGGGAGGAGATATGGGAATATATGTATATGTATAGCTGATTCACTTGGTTATACAGCAGAAATTAACACACCATTGTAAAGCAATTATACTCCAGTAAAGATGTGAAAAAAACAAAAAAAAAAACCACCTCTTAGCTGTCACTCTCCTGTTTCCCTCCAACCCCCCATCCACTGCATTCATAGATAACCACCAATCTCCTTGCTGTGTTCATAGATTTGCCTCTTCTGGACATTTCATATTAATGAAACAATATAATATATAGTGTTTTGTGATCGGCTTCTTCACTTAGCATAATGCTTTTAAGAGTCATCTATGTTATAGCATGTATCAGTGCTTCATTCCTTTTATGAGCAAATAATATTCCTTTGTATGGGTATACCACATTTCGTTTATCCATTCAGCACTTGAAGGACATTTGGGATTGTTTCCACCTTTGGCTATAAACATTCATTTACAAGTTTTTATGTGAACATATGTTTTCATTTGTCTTGGGTGTATACCTAGGAGTGAAATTATTGGGTCAAATACTATTTAACTTTTTGAGGAACTTCCAGACTCTTCCAGAGTAGTGGCATTTTACATTCTACCAGCATTTTATCAGGATTATAATTTTTCCACATCCTTACTAACACTTGTTATTATCTGACTTTATTATAACTGTTCTAGGTGGTGTGAATTTGTGGTTTTTGATCTGTATTTCTCTAATGGCTAATGATATTAAATATCTTTTCAGTTTCTTATTGTCCATTTGTATATCTGTCAAGAAATGTCTATTCAGATAGTTTGCCCATTTTTTAATTGGGTTATTTATCCTTTTATTATTGAGTTATAAGAGTTCTTTATATATTCTGGATATAAGTTCCTTAACAGATACATGATTTGCAGATATTTTCTCCTATACTATGGGTTGCCTTTTTCACTTTCTTGATCTGTTCTTTGAAATACAAAAGTTTTTATTTTTATGAATTCCAATTTATCTAGTTTTTTGTTGCTCGAGCTTTTGTTGTTGTCATGGTTAAGAATCCATTGCCAAATCCAAAGTCTTGAAAATTTACCCTTATGTTTTTTCCTATAAGTTTTATAGTTTTAGCTCTTACATTATGGTCTTTGGTCCATTTTGAGTTAGTTTTTGAATATAATGTGAAGTAAGAATCCAGCTTCATTCTTTTGCGTGTGACTGTACTGTTGTCCCATCACCATTTGTTGAAAAGACTATTCTTTCCCCACTGAATGGTGTTAGCATTCTTGTCAGTAATCAACTGACCATAAATACATGGGTTTATTCCTGGATTCTCAATTCTGTTCCATTGAGTTATATGTCTATCCTTAGGCCAGTTCCATGCTGTCTTGATTCAAAATACAAAACTCTAGTTTTGTAGTAAGTTTTGAAATCGGGAAGTGTGAGTCCTCCAACTTTGTTCTTTTTATTAGTGTCTTGAGGATTTTTACATTCATAAGAGTTATTGGTCTGTAGTATTCTTTTCTTGTGATGTCTTTACCTGGCTTTGGTATCAGAGTAATACTGGCCACATAATGATTTGGGAAGTGTTCCCTCCTCCTTTATTTTTTTGAAGATTTTGTGAGAATTAATGTTAAGTCTTCTTTAAATGCTTGGTAGAAATCAGCAGTGAAGCTACTTGGTCTTTTCTTTGTGGGTAGTTTTTTTTTTATAATTAATTCAACCTCTCCACTTCTTATAGGTCTATTCAGATTATCTGTTTCTTTTTGAGTCAGTTTTGATCATTTGCTTTTTCTAGGAATTTGTCCATTTCATCTAAATTACCTAATTTATTAATATATAAACATAGTATTTTATAGTCCTTTTTATTTCTGAGAGCTTGTTAATAATATCCCCTTTCATTTCTGATTCTAATAATTTGAACCTTGTCTCTCTTTTTCTTGATCAATTTAGCTAAAGGTTTGTCAGTTTTGTTGATCTTTTCAGAGAACCAGCTTTTCGTTGGTTTTCCCTACTGTTTTTCTGTTCTCTATTTTATTAATTTCTGCTCTTTGTTTCTTTCCTTCTGTTTGTTTCAGTTTTAGTTTGTTCTTCATTTTCCAGTGTCTTAAGGTGGAAGTTTATTGATTTGAGATCTTTCTTCTTTTTTAGTATAGACATATACAGCTATAAATTTTCTTCTATGGACTGCTTTAGCTGCATCCTGTAAGTTTTGGTATGTTTTGTCTTCATTTTCATTCATTTCAAGTATTTTCTTTTTCTTTTTTTTTTTTGGTGCATTGGGTTTACATTGCTACGTGCCGGCTTTTTCTAGCTGCAGCGAGCGGGGGCTACTCTTCACTGCGGTGCGTGGGCTTCTCACTGCAGTGGCCTCTCTTGCTGTGGAGCACAGGCTCTAGGCATGCAGGCTTCAGTAGTTGTGGCGCATTTCAAGTATTTTCTGATTTCCCTCTCTAGTTTTTCTATGACTCATTGGTTATTTAGGCATGTGTTGTTTAATGTCCACATATCTATGTTTCCCAGTTTTTTCCTTTTACTGACTTCTAATTTCATTCTGTTGTGGTAAAAGAACATACTTTGTATTATTTTAGTCCTTTAAAACTTACTAAGCTTTGTTTTATGGCTAAGTATATGCTCAGTCCTGGAATGTATTCCATGTAGACTTGAAAATGAATATTCAGCTGTCATTGGGTAGAGTGTCACTCTTCCTTTATTTTCACCATGGCTTATCTCAGATAGATAGGGGAATAGATGTAATAATTTTCTTCAGTTTTAATGTTATACTTCCTGGAATTATAAACTCACAGATCTGCAAAAAGATCTTAGTTTCAGCCCCCTCATTTAACAACAGATGACAAAACCAAGCTACAGATGTAGCTTGCTCAGAGACATACAGTCAGTATTATTGTGAACAAGACCTCCATTGCCTATTTCTCAAATCATCTAAATAACCTCTCACTGTCTGTTTTCTTTTATTGGAATGCAGAAATTGTTCATTAGAAATATTGATGTCATCCTTAGCCAAAACTGAACACCTGTCCTTTGCTGGGTTCTATAAACATAGTTAATTCCCAAATGTAATCCTTTTCCCACTAGTCTTCCTAAAAAGGAAGAAAATTTATTTTCAAATAGAAAATAAAATTTTATTATTGTTGTGTTAGCTATAAAGGTGTCCAAATATATGAAAATTAGAGAGAAGCACCGTAGTTGGTTTAGAATGACTTTCAGTGTGATACAGCTTGGGCCTCAGTGTAACTTGCTCTTGCTGGTGTCTTTAGTACATGTGTATGTTGCAGCAAGAGAAGGCAGTGAAAATTAATTTCTCAGCTGATTTTACTAATTTGTAGGGAAAAGGAGGACCTGTAAACATTATTTTTAAAAGGAAAAAAACATGAATTATGGGTATAGAAGTAGGGGAGACTTAAGTATAGAAGATGAATAAGAATCTGTAAAATAAAGATACCACAGAGTTAACAGAATCTTAGATTTTAGATGTAGCTTTAGAATGAGTGGCTCTTTGATGACATCTTGCCACTAGGAAGTAAAGACCCAGTAGAGGTTATTTTGGGTGGGCAGATGGACTCACAAGGACAAGTAGGACTGTTAGCTTGGCACTTAACCACCATAATTACTTTTAACCAGCCACCCACTGTGTACTCTGTTCCACACAAAATACTTCCCAAGGCACCTGGCTTCAGCAGTAGGAAAGTGCCATTTGGAACCCTGGGTAAAACGTGTCCTTCAAACCTGGTTCTCCTCATTTAGGTATCTCCCTGGGATAAAAAAGAGGAAGCTAACCAGAAAAAGCTAGAATTTGCATTTGCAAACAGTGATTATCTGGCCCTTCTACGAGCATATAAGGTAAGCATATAACCTAATAGCTGAGATTTATTACCAGAGTTGGCACTAAAGACAGTAACATTTTGATTTTCTCCAAAATTTAGGGATGGCAGCTAAGTACGAAAGAAGGTATGCGTGCAAGTTATAATTACTGCAGACAAAACTTCTTGTCAGGAAGAGTTCTTCAGGTAAGTTGTTTCTGTGGAAATTTGTTTTCATTCATTTTCTATTGTAGTAGCGCACCGGAGGGTGTTGCAACTTTGTCTTGCTTGTCCTGCCTTGACATTGAAAATGTTATTTTTGGAATATGCTTGGCTTTACCACCTGGGTAAAACCGACTCCTGAACTATGACATCTGGCCTTTTGTGCTGAACCTTTCAACTGATCTGTTCTTCCTCTTTTTAGTGAATCTGTGTTTAACTTCTGTGGAGGCTAGGGGAATATAGGCACTCTGAAGATTACTGCTTACTGGAAGTCAGTTTTTTCCATAGTTATACCAAACATTCTTAACCCGGATCCATAAGCCCCTGAAATCGTATGCAAAGTCATACCCTTATACATAACGTGCATTATTCTGGAGAAAGGGATCACAGCTTCATCAGATCCTCAAAGCGGTCTATGACCATCGCCAAACCCCTTACCATCTCCCTAAAACCGAAGACTGAATACTGAACCAGATTTTCTTTGTTAATTCTTCTGTCCATCAGAGGCTACTATGTCAATAACAAGTACACAAGAAAGAGAAAGAAAGGTTTATTATCTTCTGTGTAATAACAGGCAGGGCTCTGTCTTCTGTTGTAATAGTATTTTAGGCCGCCTTCCAAAGTGGCATGAAAAGCCAGAATAGGGCTTCCCTGGTGGCACAGTGGTTGAGAGTCCGCCTGCTGATGCAGGGGACCACGGGTTCGTGCCCCGGTCCGGGAAGATCCCACATGCCGCAGAGCGGCTGGGCCCGTGAGCCATGGCTGCTGAGCCTGCGCGTCCGGAGCCTGTGTTCCGCAACGGGAGAGGCCAAAACAGTGAGAGGCCCGCGTACCGCAAAAAAAAAAAAAAGCCAGAACAATAACGGTGCATTATCTTTACAAAGCATCTATTTCACTCAAAGATTTTGAGGCTCAGGAGGGGGAAGGACTTTATTTCTATATTAGAAGATGTCTTGGAATAGAACACAAAATTAATGTTCGTAGTACTTACCACTACCTGACAGCTAGTTATCTCTCTACCCCATAAGCTCCATCAGAGACGAGATTTTTTTTCTTTTTTCTTTTTTTTTTTGCGGTACGTGGGCCTCTCACTGTTGTGGCCTCTCCCGTTGCGGAGCACAGGCTCCAGATGCGCAGGCTCAGCGGCCATGGCTCACGGGCCCAGCCGCTCCGCGACATGTGGGATCTTCCTGGACCAGGGCACGAACCCGTGTCCCCTGCATCGGCAGGCGGACTCTCAACCACTGCACCACCAGGGAAGCCCCAGAGCCGAGATTTTATGTTTTGTTCAATACTGTATCCCCAGTGCCTAGAACAGTACTTAGCACATAGTTGATGCTCAGTAAAATTCATTGAATGCATGAATGAATGGTCATTTAAAATGAAGTAAGAGACCTCAAAACCATCCCAGTATTTGCCTTTATTCTTCTCTGCCTTTAGGTGTACTGCAGTGAGGCGTTTTGAGAAGACAAAGGCTCTAGCTTTATTTTAAGTACAACAAAAGCAATGATTTTCAATCCTGGCTACACATTAGATTCACCCGAGGGAGCTTAAAAAAAAAAAAAAGTAAAAATACCCAAATTCCACTCCAGGCCAATTACATCTGGATCTCCAGGGGTGGAGCCTGAGCATGTTTATTTTCCTTGTTGTTGAGTTCACCAAGTGATTCTAATATGCTGCCAGGGTTGAGAAGCACTGGTCTAAAGAGTATTTTATATGTAAGGTGCAGTAATATTTTCTTGAGTCATTAAGAGTTTTAAGTATAAAATAATATTTCTTTTAAATTACATTTTTTACTAAATTTATTCTTTTTCTTTAGGATGTGTGTAGATTTTGCTGTGATCTATGAGGGCCATCAAACAGCTACCTCTGGACTTCACTAAAGTCCAGCTTAGATTGTATTGTAGAATGTTTTGTGTTTCTTTTTTTAATCGACTTTTTTTTTTATAATTTATTTATTTTTGGCTGCATTGGGTCTTCATTGCTGCATGCAGGCTTTTCTCTAGTTGCGGTGAGCGGGGGCTACTCTTCATTGCAGTGCACAGGCTTCTCATTGCGGTGGCTTCTCTTGTTGCAGAGCATGGGCTCTAGGCGCCCGGGCTCAATAGTCGTGGCTCGTGGGCTCTAGAGCGCAGGCTCAAGTTGTGGCGCACGGGCTTAATGGCTCCACAGCATGTGTATCTTCCCAGACCAGGGCTCGAACCTGTGTCCCCTGCATTGGCAGGCATATTCTTAACCACTGCGCCACCAGGGAAGTCCTAGAATTAGTTTTATTAAGATATTAAAACCTTGTCGTGAAATAGAACTCTGGTATATTTAACTCCTAGTTATATTTTGCCATGTTATACATCTGTGATTGACAGTCCAAGAAAATACTTAAATTGTCATCAGATACAGGGTAGCATTGCTTAGCTTTCCATTCCTTTGATTGTCATTATCTGCTTCTCTATTGTCTGATACACAGCTCATATTTGAACAGATGCCAGAGGTTTGTGCTTTTCATTCTCACACTTGTGCTCAGATGCAGAAAGGGGTTTCTAAATCTAAACCACTTAATAGTATTCCTATTCCTCGGGAGAATGTGAGCCAGCCAAGTTCACAAAGTAAGAGAAAGAGGGAAGGTTCTGAGGTGGGTGTTCTGCATCTTTTAAGAGAGAACGCTAACCACTCTAGGCTCGGGTAAGGCACTAAGAGGACCTGAGCAGAAAGGAAGTAGGAAAAACCAGACAGTGTCACAGCACCTCGAGCTAGAGTTCCACAAAGTAAACTACGTTATGGCTGTCCTAAGAATTGCGAGGAAAATCAGACCTACCCAAAATCCAATTAATGGTTTGTTTTTTTTTAACGTAATCTAGAATTAAATGATCTTTGGGTTTTCTGAAATTTGTGAATTTCTGTGTAATGGTTTTACACTGCTGGTTTGTATGAGTGAAAACTGCCCTTTTGTGAGTGGACAAGATAATCTTCACACCTGTTTGGTAAACCCACATGAGTCTCATTACTATACGCTGAACTAATCGTTTTTGTAGTCATTCTTACCTTTGATATGTTGATGCCCCTGCTTAAAGAGTTTTTCCATTTCTTTCAGGAAATGGCCAGCCTCAAACGACAGTTCACGGAACTGTTATCGGATATAGGCTTTGTGAAAGAGGGACTCAGAGCAAGGGAAATTGAGAAAAGGGCCCAGGGAGGAGGAGATGGTATCTTGGATGCCACAGGAGAAGAGGTAAAGAATGTGTAGTTAGTTCTTACTTCTCTTTGATGATCACACTCATAGTCTGTTACCTCAGGAGCACTTGTAGGCCTTGTTCACTTAAGCCCTATGAGCAGTGGGTTAGTGGCATTCTTGATTTTCTTTCCACAAATGTCAGCTAACACTCAGAAAAACAAGAGTTTTTTTGTTGATTGTTGCTTCTGTTTTTTTCTAATTTCACATTGGTTCTTGGTAGGTCCATCAGAGGTAGAACGGACTTTCCAATAATGTCTTCTTAATCAGACCAGCCTTCTTCAAACCCAGGATAGTTTTGTATGTAATAAGTATCCGAAGAACAATTCAAGATGAAACCTGATGCCACTCTGTTCTAAGTACAGTTAGTACTCTCTGGAAATTGTGAACATCTCATGAACCAGAATCTTTCTCTCGACTGATCCTTAGGAACACTGGCTTTGTAACTGCTCTGCAGAGATCTAGAAAGTAACTGTGGACTTCTTGGAAGGGTACTGTGTGAATGTGGTCCAGTAGATTTTTGTTTTTACTTAGAAATAATTTTTCTAGCAAAGTGATAGAAATGAGGTGCTTTTTAGAAATCAAGAGAAATATTATAATTTCCAGGGATAGACAGAAATAGCCACATTACTTAAAAGATTAATGCTGTATTTCTCATAGGCTAACTCAAATGCTGAGAACCCCAAGTTGATATCAGCAATGCTGTGTGCTGCTCTATATCCAAATGTAGTGCAGGTAAGAAACATTTTTCCTGGGTCCTCCCACTTCCTGTTTGATTTTAGCCAAGGGATATAAGTTAAGACATGCACATTAATCATCTTAAAGACACACACACACACACACACACACACACACACACACAGAGCCTTTTAAACATAGTATATATTTCCAATTCTTCAGTTCCCCAAATGTGTTGATACATCATTCAAGAACACATTTATTGTATAAAATAAGGTGCCTTTTTAATCCTTCTGACATTATGACATTCCAGAAATTAAAATGGACATAATGTCACTGTCAGCCCGTCTGTGCATAACTAACCTATGTTAGGTAGAAATTTGATTCTACTACAATTTCCCTTATGCCCTCTACTCTGGACTAAAATTAGATAAGAACAAGTCAGTGCCTTGTCACGGGACCGCCTATGATCCCCCTCTTCTGGAAACCCTACCTGAATGTACTGTCGGACTTTTACCTGAGATTTGATTATCCAGTCCTTGTCAAACTTAGAATGTGAATTTGTCAGAGTACTGAAGCATTTCTCACTTAACTTTTTGATAAATGTTCAGTTGATGTCTGCTGATTCATTTATGGCTTATTTTTGCTTAGTGCTTGCATGCTTTTCAAATCATTTGAAATTTACTTAAAAAAAATCATTTGGAGAAAAGCTATGGAGACACTTAAAAAATCAGGGGTGAGGGGGATGAATAAGCAGAGCACAGAAGATGTTTAGGGCAGTAAAAATACTCTGCATGGTACCATAATGATAGATAACATGTCATACTTGCCCAAACCCACGGAATGTACAACAACAAAAGTAAACCCTAATGTAAACTATGGACTTTGGGTGATGATGTGACAGTGAGGTGCTGTATAGCCACTGAGAAGTATGTTTTAGGAAAATATTTATAGAAAATGATCCTATATTAGTTTTAATACATATATATTTATTTCTATATATAAATATAAATCTAACAGAAAACTAAAATGATATAAGTCAAACATTAATGTTAGTTATTTCCTAATCATGGGACTACAGGAGTTATCATAGGTTATTACAAGATACTGACTATTGTTCCCTGTGTTATATAGTAGCAATGTTATTTTCTACAGTAAATATGGAGGGGTGTGTGTGTGCACATAAGCTTTTCATTTTTTTTTGGTGAGACCATCTGTTTTTCACTATTTTGAAAAATTCATTTGGAAATGTTGGATTGGTATTGGAATTGTCAGCAGATTCCTGGTCCAGTGTTGCCAGCTGAATCTCTTTCCCTGATAATCAGGGCAGACCTGAAACATCAACGTGGTTTCTCCCCCATGTGGCTGGTGTGTGGTATAGTCACCCAGAACTACATTTACATCCACACCTCCTCATGGTTAAAAAAAAGAAAAGGAAAGCATGCTTATACTGCTTCCAAAAGGAAACAGAGAGGGAAGCAGCAACAAGGGCATTCAAACAAGACTTCTTTTGTCAAGGGATACATCCTACAATGAAAATACGTATTTTTTATATATATATATATATATATATATATAAATAAAATTTTTTTTTGTTTTTTTAAACAAATACCTGTTGTTTAGGTGAAAAGCCCAGAAGGGAAATTTCAGAAGACCAGTACCGGAGCTGTCAGAATGCAACCGAAATCAGAGGAATTGAAGTTTGTCACCAAGAACGATGGATATGTACACATTCACCCTTCATCAGTGAACTACCAGGTCAGGATGGCTGGGTATACTTAACAGTCAGGTTCCACATCCACAGATTCAACCAATGCGAATTGTGTAGTACTGTAGTATTTAGTATTGAAAAAATCTTGAGTGTAAGTGGACCCATGCAGTTCAAAGCCTTGTTGTTCAGGGGTCATGGCAGGTCCTGGGGTGAGAAACAGTCCCTTCACTTCAGCCAAACCTTGTTCCATCACTCACTGTCTTTAGCAGCATCACTGACTTGGGGAAAGTTGAATAAGCACAAATGTACTGGAAATTGAACTATTAAGCCTGCTTTCAGATATAAAATTGTTTCTTTGCGGTGGTGATTTAAGAGGTCATGAAGTAATTCTCTCACTCCATCTGTGCCTTAAGAGGCCATGACCTGTGCTTGTCGATCCAACTTCCTCAGCTCTCCTTCTTCCTTCAGCCAACTGCTGGGAGGCTTCTGCTCCCACCCCTCCACTAAATTCATCAGAAGTCATGAATAACCTCCTAGTTGTCAAATATAGGGAACAAATTCCCTGGCTCTCATCATTCTTGACTCATGAAGTATCTGACATTGCTGACTTCCCTACCTCCTGCCACTATCTTTGATGTTTTTTGCTTCTGAAATATCACTTTCTTCTCTCTCACTGATCATCCCCCTCTAGCCCCTTTACCAGATTCTCTTCCCTTACTCTGAAATCGTGGTTCTGTCCTTGTTCTCTTATTACAGTGCACATAATCTTCCTGAACCACCAGGGCACAACATCGTGGTTCTAACTGCCACCTACATGCTGACACAGACTGCAAATCTCTCTCTCTCTCGTCCTGGGCTTTTTTTTCTGAGCTGTCTTGCTAGAAATCACCACCTGGGTGCCTTCTAGTCACCTCAAACTCAAAAGCTGAAAGATCAAACTCATTATCTCTGAATTCACTCCTCTGTGTTCCCTGTCTTGGTGAAATGGGACCATCCAAATCAGAACCCTGGAGTCACATGGACCCTGCTTCTTTTCTCCTGATGCCAGTCTAATTGGTCACCAGGTCCCAACACTTCCACCTTTTGACATGTCTCAGATTTGCCTACTTCTCTTGTCCCTGCTGCCATTTCCTCAGTTCAAACCCCAAATATCTGTCTCTTTCCTGAAGTACTATCTTACTTCTGGTGCTTTTTCTCTCCAACCTTTTATACTACTGCTGCCAGAATCATCTTTACAAAACACACATTTGATCATGTCATACCCTTGCTTAAAACTCTTCATATAAACTCTCCTACAACCCTTCACATCTAGCCCTTCTTAGCCCATGTCCCCTGCCCCAACCCACTCCTGTCATTCTTTATGCTCCAGTGATACCAGACTACCAACAGTGTCCCCCGGTGCCATGACACAGGACACACTGTCCTCTATGCCTGGAATGGCGTTCTAATTCCCCAGCAGGCCCCTACTTATCCTCTAGGCTCCCATCATATATCCCTTTCCCAGTGTCCCTCTCCTAGTTGCTCCTTACTTCCGTTCCATCACTGTATAGTGTACATTTTTCCACTGTTGTACTTATCACATTATTTTATAGCTTATGGTATGTCTCATTCATGGACTTGTAAAATTCCTGAAGACAGGAATTGAATTTTATTCATCTCTGCGTTCTTGATGTCTAGCACACTGCCTAGCCAGCATAGCTGAAAGCAGATGTTCAATAAAGCTTCATCTCGATAAAGAGATGAAGGAGGAAAAGAGAAAAGGAGAATGCAGGAAGAGAGTTTGAAGTGTTAGGGCTGGTCAACTTGTAAAACTACTGAGTAAAGTGTCAGCAAAGAATGAAAAGAAGTGTTAAGCTCAGAAGAGTCTGAGGACCAGGAAGTCATTTGCCCTCTTGGCTGCATGTGTACTTGGGAACCGGGGGCCCAAGTTACCTCCACTCGTCCTCTCCTGCGTTTACCATGACATTTCTTCAGTGAATCCAAGTCATTCAGTATCTGCTAGCACCTCCTCTGTGCCAGGCATTGTTGCAGGCCATGGAGGACAGCGGATGAGCTAGGGAGACAAGGTCTCTGCCCTCAGGGAACTTACATTCTAATGGGGAAGACAGGCAAGAAATAAGTAAACAAATAATCTCAGGTTAATGACAAATGTTATGAAGGAAAATAAAACCGTAAGAGATCGAGAGTGACAGAAGAGGGGCTTTTTTTTTTTAAACTATAGTTGATTTACGATATTGTGTTAGTTTCAGGTATATAGCATCAGATTCGTTTCCACTATAGGTTATTACAAGATATTGCATATAGTTCCCTGTGCTATACAGTAATCCTTGTTATTTATCTTTTATATACCGTGGTGAATATCTATCAATATTAATCCCGTACTCCTAATTTATCCCTCCACCTCCCAAGAGAGGCTACTTTACGTAGAGTGACCAGGGAAGAACTCTCAGGAGAAAACAATTGAGCAGATCCTAAATGAAGTGAAGGGCAAGTCATGCAGGTATCCAAAGAGAGGACATTCCAAGCTGAGGAAATAAGTGCAAAGACCATGAGATGGGAGCATATTCGGTGTGTTCCAGGAAATGCAAGAAGGCAGCCAGTGCAAATGGAGGGGATGGTTAGGGGTGGAAGTGGTAGATGAGTTGGGACAAGTGGGCAGGGATCAGGTCGTGTAGGATCCACAGAAGGATCTGAGATTTTATCCTTGGGAAATCTCTGGAGGGTTCTGAGCCCTAACTGGTTTCTAAAAGATCACTGTGGCCTCTGTATGGAAAAGAAACTGTGAAGGTGCAAAAGGGCAGGTACATAGGAAGCCACTGCAGTGGTCTGTATGAGATGACAGTTTGCATGAGGTGGTAGCTGTAGAAGTGGTGAGAATATGTCAGTTCATCATGTATTTTGAAAACAGAGCTGACAGGACTTAGTGATGATATAGATGGAGTGAGGGAGAGAGAGCAATCAAGGATGGCTCCTAAATTGGGAGCTTGAGCAACTGGGTGCAAACTGGGTGAATGGGAGTATCATTTAACGAGATAGTGAACACCACACGGAGGGGAAAATTGAGAATTCCTTTTGAACACAACAAATCTGAGATGCCTGTTAGATGTCCGAGTACAGACATCAAGTAGGCAGTTGCACATACAAGGCTGGAGCTCAGGGGAACCTACAGGCTGAAGGTAATTTTGGGAGTCATTGGACAGGTGATGATTAAATCCCTGGGACTGGTGGAGTTCCCCTTATGTTGCCAATGACGTAACTGTCATATGTTTCAGGTCAGACACTTTGACAGCCCCTACCTGCTGTACCATGAGAAGATCAAAACTAGTCGGGTGTTCATCCGAGACTGCAGCATGGTGTCTGTGTACCCGCTGGTCTTGTTCGGAGGAGGACAAGTGAATGTGCAGCTCCACAGGGGAGAGTTCATTGTCTCCTTGGATGATGGCTGGATCCGTTTTGCAGCAGCTTCACATCAGGTAAGGGATAACGAGTCTGTCGCATGAGACTCAGGCCATGAGGGGCTCTGATAATAGGAAGTATAGAGCATTTCTTCAGGGAACAAGGACCACAGAGCTGAGTAAGAGTGAATGATGGGTCTGCAGGGGACACTAAGCAAGACTGAGGCTGAAGTGAGGCCGGGGGGGGAGCCTTAGTAAGAGTTCAGGAAGCACACTAGGAGGGGAAGCCCAGGACAGCTGGTGTGAAAGGCTTCGGACAGAAGCTGTGAGGGAGGTGTTGGCACTTCCTGATTGTTATACAAATACAAGTTCAAAGAAAATCAAAATATAGATGAGCAGAACTAAGTAAAAATCACCCTGATTCCACAACCACCATTAAAAAATGTCTCAATTATTCACTATATGGAGTCTCTAGAAAACGTTTAAGGGGGAGTATATTTAAGATATAAAAATTTTTAATATTTGCATCTCTTAGAAATCTTCTGTTGCAGGAGGCAGAAACACCAACTCAAACATTACAGTTAATTCCCTTTAAAGTCTGAAGCGGCACAGTCCAGGAGAAATATATGTGCCACATACCTAATAATTTTTCTAGTAGCCACATTAAAAAAAAGTAAATAGGTGAAATTAGTTTTAATATTTTATATAGCAGAAAACATCTAAAAAGTTTTAATTTCAACATGTAATCAATATAAACAATTGAGCTTTTTATACTCTTTTTTCATACTAAGTCTTCAGAACCTGGTGTGTAGTTTATACTCACAGCGCATCTCGATTGGGATCAGGCACGTTTCATGTGGTCAGGAGATTAGCCACATGGGACAGTACAGGTCAAGAGGGCCAGGCAGTGTTGGTTTGATTCAGCTGCTTAACAACAAAAGCCTGTCTGGCCCTGTGGTAGCAGGACGGCTGTAGTGGCTCCTGGGTCACGTCCCTGCAGCATATACTGTCCAAAAGGGAAGACAGAACGCTTCTTTCCTAAAAGTTCCAGCAAACCTCCTCTCCTAAACCAACTCCTGTGGCTGAAGAATGTCATGGACTCTAAGGCCTGGACCACCTGAACCATTCACTCTGGCAGGGCACATGGCGTGAGCCTGCGTTATGCAGACAGAGTCCACCCTGCAGGGTTGCCAGACAGCGGAGCAGCAGCCGAACAGATGCTGGCAAGACACGCACAGTGGCACTGCGTCAGCACAGGCAAACCGCCGTAAAACATGGAGGCTGTCTCCCAACCCTGTCCCCACCAACAAAAGCAGACAAATTCCAAAGTTAAAGAGATTTTTTTGGTTTAACATCTGCCATTTTTAATTCTCCATTTTCCTTCTTCTCCTCTCGGAGCAAATTGTAAAAGTCGACCAAGCTTTAATGTGGAGAACACTATATAAAAGCCATATTTCCCGATTTAATCTTTTCTTTAAATGAGATGTGAGAGAGGAGGCTTTTTAAAATGGACCCCACTTAGTATATTACAGAGCTGACATTGAGTGTATGTTCCTATAATTGCATCAAGAAATTTTAGAAGCAGTTTTAGAAAAAAATGTTTAGTTCCCCCACCATGGAATTAAAATAGCAGAAATCTAGAATAATGATAATCATAACTGGAGAATTTCCTTTAATAACCTTTCCTCCCCTGTTGGTCGAAGCACTGCTTACATTGCAACTTTCATTTTAGGTGGCTGAATTAGTAAAGGAACTTCGCTGCGAACTTGACCAGCTTCTCCAGGATAAGATAAAAAACCCAAGCATAGATCTGTGTACCTGTCCTCGAGGGTCACGGATCATCAGCATGATTGTGAAACTTGTCACCACACAATAAAGACCAGGCTCGGGAGAGTGCTTGCTACTCACCTGCTTGCTCAGCTGGGAAATGACGGCAGCACCTCTACCTCGAGCTGCAGCTCCGCGATGGGGCTGCCCTGGTGAAGGAGCCCAGGGCAGGCACTGCCAAGTCAGCTGAGGCGACGCACACCTTTAGGGAAATTTTCCACACTAAGTATTTCTAACCAAGCAGTGGGCATTCCCAGCACAATTTGGAGTGTCGGTGTGAGTTCGAAAACCAACTTGCCTGTATTTTTCTCTCTGACTGCCCTGGAATGAATGAAATTCATCTGATTAACAGGAAAGTGAATATTTAATACAATTCTGTTTTAATCTATGTATTATTTTTCTCCTGCTTTTTACTGGGGTGAGATAAGGGCATGAGGAGAAATATCAATTGTTTTTTTTCTGTCATAAAGGCTCAACTGAAAGAAGTCAGAACAGAGAAGGAAAAAAAATCATGTGAGCAAGAAAAATTAAAATTTCATTTCGGCTATAGGCCATTACATAAACTTCATTCGTGAGGGATTTTTACTCATTAAAGTTCAGCTTAAAAAAACCAAACATAATGAGCACTTATTTGTTATCAGAATGTGAGCTGGTTTTATCCATAACACACTTTTCTTTTTTTAAATAAATTTATTTATTTATTTTTGGCTGAGTTGGGTCTTCGTTGCTGTGCACAGGCTTTCTCTAGTTGCGGCGAGCAGGGGCTACTCTTCGTTGTGGTTCGCGGGCTTCTCATTGCAGTGACTTCTCTTATTGCAGAGCACGGGCTCTAGGCACGTGGGCTTCAGTAGTTGTGGCACGTGGGCTCAGTCGTTGTGGCTCGCGGGCTCTAGAGCGCAGGATCAGTCTTTGTGGCACACGGGCTTAGTTGCTCCACAGCATGTGGGATGCTCCCAGACCAGGGCTCGAACCCGTGTCCCCTACATTGGCAGGCGGATTCTCATCCACTGCACCAGCAGGGAAACCCCATACTTATTCTTTTTTTTTTTTTTTTTTGCGGTACGCAGGCCTTTCACTGTTGTGGCCTCTCCCGTTGCGGAGCATGGGCTCCGGACGCACAGGCTCAGTGGCCATGGCTCACGGGCCCAGCCACTCCACGGCATGTGGGATCCTTCCAGACCGGGGCACGAACCCACGTCCCCTGCATCCGCAGGCAGACTCTCAACCACTGCGCCACCAGGGAAGCCCCCACACTTATTCTTAAAAGCAGAACAGTCTGGGTGTTTTCATTCTCTTGTAGGTTTTCTATTTAGGAATCTTATGAACTCACCTGGATCTAATGGCCACATTTCACATTACCCGAAGGAAAATTTTAATGGTATTCTCACAACAGAGTTGGCATGGTTAAGGTAGAAAAGGTTGCCATACTAGTGTCAGATTTACAGCCATAAAAATACCTTCCATGGGACTGTTATTTTCAACCCCCATTTAGGGTAATGGGGCACTAGCATTCTGAAAAAAAAAGTATATATATATTTATACTTTCCCTGGACATTTTTCAGTGTGACCAAGAAGAATCCCAAAAAGCTGGGTGGAAAAAGTATTCCTATATTTCGGTAGTCCTCAGGTAGAGAGTTACTACAGGTTTCCCACTATACATGGAATTCACACTAACTCAACAAAACCACCTCAGTGAAGGACGTTCACTTTTCAAGGTATTTAAGTTCTCAGGAAACCACTGAAACTGTCCAAAACAGTCATTTTGAAGTGTGTTTAAGCTTCGGTGCACTTAAAGAGCTTAGGCTCTAAGCAGTGTTTTTAAAAGGCATTAATTCGGGCTTCCCTGGTGGCGCAGTGGTTGGGAGTCCGCCTGCCGATGCAGGAGACGTGGGTTCGTGCCCCGGTCTGGGAGGATCCCGCGTGCCGCGCGGCGGCTGGGCCCGTGGGCCATGGCCGCTAGGACTGCGCGTCTGGGGCCTGTGCTCCGCAACGGGAGAGGCCACGGCAGTGAGAGGCCCGCATACCACAAAAAAAAAAAAAGAAAAAAAAAGGCATTAATTCATAAAATCACTTTAAATAACATACATATGCATAGCACCCACAGTATACAAGTTCTGACTTGCTATTGAAACAAGGCTCACATTACAAAACCGATTAGGCTTGGGACGTTTAGGAGAAATGAAAGAGAAAACTGCACTAACCCTCTAAACAAGTTTTTTTCAAACCAGTTTTGACTGTTGGCTCTATAGCAGAGCCCATGCTGCCCTAACTAGAGCCATCTGCCCACGTGGACCTGCAGGTTTGAATGCAAGTTTGCAGCAGAGCACGCAGCTGCAAGGTAGTTAATAACAAAACTTTCCATTCAGAGTGCTGAGGAACTGCTCTCTCAGGGAAGCCGTGCTGGGCTGGTTACTTTCCGCCACACACAAATGCACAAATCCATAGCAGCACTATTTACAGTAGCCAAGGCACAGAAACAACCTAAATATCCATCCACAGACTGAATGGATAAAGGAGATGTGATGTATATAGACACAATGGAACATTGCTCAGCCATAAAAAAGAATGAAATAATGCCATTAGCAACAACATGGATGGACCTAGACATTATCATACCAAGTGAAGTAAGCCAGACAGAAAGACAAATATCATAGGCTATTACTTATGTGTGTAATCTAAAAGAGTGATTCAAATGAACTCATTTACAAAACAAACAGACTCACAGACATGGAAAACATAGTTATCAAGAGGATAGCCAGGTCGGGTGGGGTGGGCGTGGGGAGGAGGGATAAATTAGGAGTTTGGGATTAACATGTACACACTACTATATATAAAATAGGTTAACAACGACCTACTGTACAGCACAGGGAACTATATTCAATATCTTGTAATAACCTATAATGGAAAAGAATCTAAAAAATTATATATATGTATAACTGAATCACTTTGCTGTACACTTGAAACTAACACAACATTGTAAACTAACTGTAATTCAACCAAAAAAACAAAAAATGCACAAACCCTATCATTCTGTAGATGTGCCAGAATGTGAAAAATGTTGGAAAGCCTTGACTGAAGGAATTCATAAGGAAATCCTCACCCCCAAACTAATTTTAAGTCATCATTAAAATTATGAAATAAGAAATGAAATAGGATTATCTCTTTTTGATTAAAGTCAGAATACAGTAGTATTTCAAGATGAAACTGGATTTCTAAGCCCCAACAAGATGGTCAGAATTTAATGTTAATTTTATGGAGAACCCTGTAACTGTTTTCTTAAATATCTGTTTTACTGGAATCTAGTTAGGGAACAATATTAATGAAATACTCGCTACAAAATTAGTCTGCACTGCCGTTTTGCAGTACATGTAATTGGGAAGTTCTCAGGAAATGAGACTATCTCAACACTTACAGAGGGGGTGAGATTGATAAAACAATAGCTTTGTCTTCTTCCTCAAGTTCCATATCTGAATGTTACCATTCAAACTCTCTGACAAGTAATGAACTTTGGCCTTTAAACTGCTCGGATAATAGAATGGGGAGGATAAAAGTATATCAAAGCATGCAGCCTGTGGATCTATAGGCGTGATCATTGTTTTTTCTTTCTAGGCAATGGTCTGAATATGTCCCTTAGAGGTTATCATAAAATAAGATCTTGTGAAAGTGAGATAGGCTGGGGCCTGGGACCCTTTGCTGCAGTGCTTGCACCTGGACAAACATCTCCTCAAGCAACAAAATAAAAAACAACTATAAGGGACTAAAAATAACTGTGTGCATGAGCAGTTGGGGCAAATTATGATCAACAAGATACAAGAAGACAAAAATCCCAACAAAAGCAGGGTGTCAGGAGCAAAAGCAGGGTAGTGCACATGCCCCCCGCACACGGCACCACCAAGGGGGTGAGCAGACCACCTAAGCCACCCCTGACCCGACCCCTGGACCCGCGCCCCTACCCTCAGCCCCACGTAAGGGACCAGCTTGCACCCCTCAGGGAGTGAGCAAGGGGAGCCCCAATAAAGCCTTGCTTGAATTTCTTGTCTGGCCTCTTGTCAATTTCTACTGATTAAGGAGGCCAAGAACCCTGGTTGGTAACATAGGGACAGAAAAGACTGAAAAAAGAGAAAGAGAGATTGCCGTTTCAACCCACTCCCTGTGGGTATCTATTCAACCAACCTGTAAACTTCCAGAAAGGGCCAGTGAAGGTGGCAGCACCCTGTCCACTGCCCACCGGGGTGATCAAGCCTGGAAACCAGCCAGCTGTATGTTGTCTGTGGGACTCTGACCCACAGGTGGGACTCACCCACGCATACACCAGTATATAGAAATCTGCCTTTTCAGCCTGTTCCCAATGGGACTTCTCTTGGTGGCAGGAAAATAAAGGAGAGAATATTGGGACAATCGTACTTCCAGACCCTACATGATATGAAGTTTGAAATCTATTACTCCCAGAAATCTCCCATCAGGGAGAGACTGCTGGACAGAGATCTGCAAAGTGTGAAAGGAGCCTCTCCCTGCTCTGCTTGTCACCTGCCAGCATGAGCTGTTACCTGCCAGAGGGAGCAGGTCTCACAAGCTGAGAGGAGTGATGCTGTAGCTGCCCGATGTCCACTCTCTCAGGATAGGAAAGAAGAGAGGACAGAGAGAGGAGAAGTAGAGAGATTTCAGGAGAGGGAAAGGGACAAAGGGGAGGGGAAAGTGGTGAGGGAAAAAGGACTAGGGGAGGGGAAAGCGTTTCCTGAATGAGGGCACTGAGGCCCTCAGGGGCCAGGAAGGCAGACCTACCAAACGTGGTGACGCTGAAGCAAGAGGTTCAGCCAGCTTTGTAAATTCAGCACCTGCGGAACATCCACATGGACAACGGGTGCTCTCGCAGCTGGGACAGGTCTGGCCTTAGCAGCTATGGGCTTTGTGGGCATGTACATGCAGGGGCTGGGCTAGGTCAGGGTCTGAGCTGCCTCCACAGCTCCCATAGCGGGCCCAGGTGCGTGACTACTGCAGTCCTAGGACCGGCTTCAGTGGATTTGTGCTGGTAGCCTTGTGAAAACAAAGCCTGAGAGGCACCAGGGCCAACCGCCAGCATACAGTGGACGTGGGGCCAAGGGCAATGCCAACAACAGTGTACTTTGTGAGCCCACACAACGGGTTGTGAAAGGTGACACAACAGAGTACAGCCACAGGTGAACAGCTCCAGCAGAGGAATACTCAGTGGCTCCTGGGAGTGCTCCAATCCCACCTACCTTGCACCACAGATTAGAAACTCAGCTCAGAATAGACCTGGCAGCTCCTACTCCATCAACTAGGGAGCAGACCCTGCTCCTGACAGGGCAGTGACAACCACAGAGCAAGGAGGAAGGCCTGCTCAATATCCAGTGCAGGCTTTGGTCACCACGACATCATTTACACCTCCTATCAAGGGGATAACGGCCAGTATACAATGAAGAAAGAAGCGACAGCCACCCATACTAAAAACAGCCCTCGCACCACTAAATATTAAACCCACACAGGCTACACAGGAACATTCCCACATAAAAATAGCCCTCCAAGACCACAGTAGATAATTGTTTCCCCTAAACTCATAGAGCAAGAGAAATATAAGTAAAATGAAGAAGGAAGAGGAACCACTCCCAATTAAAAGATCGAGATATTTCCCCTGAAAGAATAAAACAGACCTCTTCAGTCTAACAGACGCCGAGCCCAAAAAGGAGATAATGA